TTTTACAAATATTTGACAGGTTAACTTTGACCGTGTATACATAATTTTTTTTATCATTATAAATTTTGTATTTTTAGTCTGGTAACGATTAATGTTTGTTTAAAAACAAGGCTTTGTCTTCCGAACCGTTATTGTTATTCTTAAACGTTTTATATGCACTGTGGAAATTAAACTTTCCATTTTATGAATTTCCAAAGTGTATAGTGTATACAACCATCGTTCAACGTTACGTCATTATTATATATCTAATATTCGATTTAGGGTGCGTCTAAAATCAGTTCATATTGTTTAGAAAATATCAAGTACGTTCAAAAATTAGTAACTGAAAGTGTTCCGAAATTATTAATTTATGTTTGAACTTTATTCAATTTGATTGCGTAAAAAACATTTTAGGAACAAACGAATTTGAATATTGTTAAGCCAGAAAATTTATCTTGGCATCCCAGATCCAACCAACATGATTAGTGAAGATTCTCATACCAGTAACCATGATATTATATCAAGTTTTCCTATTGGCCAGTGATACCCCCAATTTTATACCCCTCCCTGGAAAATATTGACTAGTATTGAAATATCCAGTGACGGTGTTATTGTATTGTATTTTACACCGTGAACTTGATTTGTGCACATTATAATTAGTACAAACTTTTTAACAAATATTACCATATTCAGCAAATCAGTAATATATTAAAAGCAAAATAAAACACTAAATTACCACAATACACCAAAACACTTTTATCTTTACACTGGACGCGCGTTTCGCTAACCATGTTAGCATCATCGGCAGATTATTAAGACTATTGTTAGTCTTGACTATTAAGTTAGTCTTAATCATCTGCTGATGATGCTAACTTGGTTAGCGAAACGCGCGTCCAGTGTAAAAGTGTTTGGTGTATTGTGGTGATTTAGTGTTTTATTTTACTGTGTAACACCAAAGGTTCCAACCTCCAACTGTAATATATTAAAAGTAAAATAATATTACAAAGTGTGCTGGAAAATATGCATTATAGAAATTCCTGATATATTTTCATAAAACTCTGCACGCTCCTGGATATTTTATGAATGAAATCAGCCATGATTTTAGAAAACTGCGTTCCCCTTACAGTTGCCCCGTTGCTTCAGATCCGTGTGTCAGACTGTACTTAAAACAACATGCAATCATTATGAACTACCGCAATGACGTCCACAATCTATTTCATCTCGTTTCAAAAGAAACAGATAATATGACAATCAATGACGTAACATTGAGGGATAGTTGCATAGACTATATGCGCACAAGCATAAGTCAAATTCCAAATCTGAGTGACCATAAAACATTTTGATAGTAGGATATGTTGCTAATAATTTTATTCTTTATACAAGCTGAATACTCCTAAAAAACCATGGTCTGTATCTTAATGCTTAAGACAAAGATAAAGGTAGTTGATTTACATTATAACTAGTTGATATACAAAGATACAAAGCAGCATACATATCTCAAGTTCTATGCAAGTTTGCAAGTGGGTAATTTTTATTTGTTTTTTAATTTTAGTTAAAATGTAAAATGCTATACTAAGCCTACTACAAATGCAGTAAAGTGACTAAATAACTGTTAATAAATTACTGGTCCAACCTAGGCAAGTGCCAACTTTACTTTTTATATCATTTTAATGTTTGAATTGAATTGAATTTATTTTATTTATATTTTGAGATTATCTTAAACGTTCAAAATCCAGACCACAGAATTAGGATGACCAGAACTGTATATAATTAGTGTATTTTGTAATTAGTTCAACATATTGTAATAAGTATCGTAAAAAGTTTAGATATCATCATAAAACATGTTTTTTTATACATATCATCAGTTAATTTTCACTAATTAGAAAAATATCGAGAGCCTTATAAAGCAAATCTTATATTAACAAGGAAATAGTTTGTTGTATATCTTTCTTAGTTAAAAATATATACATATTATTGGCTTGAAATATTTAGAAATCATTCTTTTAGTTGACCATCTACTTTGTAGGTATTCCAAACAACTTCCATTTTTTTTTTGGATTCTTTCTGTATACAATATTAAATTTTGACTAGTTCATTTGCAGATTTTTCGAATACAGATGTTATCGAAAAAGTGTCCGAATTCTGTAACCAACTAATATCTGGTTCTAATTTAATAAAAATTAAAAAACTATATATACATACTAAAATTTAATGATATCGGATAAGAAATACATTAAAGCTTCATTACAGCTAATTTGAATGTAAGCAGTCAGAACGTTAAAATTAGTGGTAGGAATTTTCAATTAGTGTAAAAAATTGATAAACTTTTAACTTTTTCTCTAATTATGCTTCAAAATTTGCGAGGAATGTCATTTTGGCCTTTGATTATCATCTGTCAAGAAAATTTGTTGTTTGAAATGAAAAGTTTATTGTTTTATAAGCTAAATATTAGGCTTTCTCTGTGGATACAACTGGTTACCGCAAGCTGCAGCTAGGATATTCTATTATAGTCTAAGAGCTAGCAACGTTTTCGAGAAAGTATTTTAAGACGTCTGGCTCTTTGATATATCTTTTACTATGCTCTCTGAAACAGCATGCGGCCCGTCTGGCTGCCTATACCCGTTGCGTTCACTACTGCGCATCGGAAGAAGATCCTATATTTTTTATTAATTTAGTCCTAAAAATTCTAGTATTGAATATAAATCGAACATGTTTCCATAGCGCAGTACGTAGAGTTTCCGACCACGAACCGATGATTCAGAGTTCGAATCCGGGTCAGGTCAAAGACTTTTTTATTTTATTAAACGGTTTTATTTAGCTCGACCCTTACGGTATTTACTTATTTGTTTGTTTATTTGGGTCAAAATTAGAAATTGAAATTTAAGTACCTTCCTGTTGTCAGATTGATCTGAAATTTGGTACACACCTTTAGTTCCGATGACAATACAATATAGTAATATCAATAACATTGTAAATCTAAGATGGCCGCCGGTACAAAATGGCGGATTTCATATTTTTCCACAACCCCCTCAATATGGGTATCAAATGAAAGGGCTACACTAGTAGAATACTGTGATTATGACAAAATTTAAAATCCAAGATGGACGTCGTTACAAAATGGCGTATTAGGTGAGGGCATGAGTAGTCGTGTCCAGAACAGTTGTGTCCAAGATTGTGTGACGTTAGAAGGACAGATAAAAACAAGAAAAGGTGATTAGATGTACCTACGTAGTTAGCGGTAGCTTTACCACCCAAGTTAAGGTAATAGGTTAAAACGTGCTGAGGACTGTATGGCATTAGGGTGGCTAAAAATGTAATGTCGCAAGCGTTTTCCCCTCAAGATTGGGCGCCTCTTGTTGTATATTATAGCCTTGTCCCTCTACTGGACCTCTGGGGGGGTCGAGTCCGTTAAAATGTCCATTACTCGTGGGAACAACATGGAAAAAATAAATAAAAAACAAACAAAAATAAAAACGAAACTGCTACACAACGAAAAAGAAGGCTCGAAAAGGCGAAAGAAAAGTATAGAACGAAACGTGCAAAAGAAAGTGAAAATGAAACCTATAGTCGACTACAGAAACGAAGAGAACGGTTAGCAACACAAACACCTGAGCAACATGATGCCAGGTTAATAGCACAACGTGAGAGACAAAGGCAGCTGGTAGTCAGAAACACCTGAGCGTCATGAGTCCAGGCTAGCATCACAACGTGACAGACAGAGAGAGTTGCTAGCGGCAGAAACACCTGAGCGTCATGAGTCTAGGCTGGCATCACAACGAGAGAGACAAAGAGAGTTGTTAGCGTCAGAAACACCTGAGCGTCATGAGTCTAGGCTAGCACCAGAACGCGATAGACAGAGAGAGTTGTTAGCGTCAGAAACACCTGAGCGTCAGATTGTAAAAAACTATCAGGTAAAAAACCATGTAATAATGATGCACTAAATGAATTAAATAGAATGAGGAATATTCGGTAGGCATTTCCGTTAAATACTAAAAACTAGAAAATAAAAAATCGGTAAAAAAACTTTTAAGTTAAACGGTTTTATCTTATGTGCACTGAAAACTAGAAAATAATAATAACAATTAGGTATTTTTTGAACTTCTAGTTCAGAAATATTTTAGTACTAGGCAGAATAGCTTTTAGGCATATTAGACTAAAATAAAAACGTGGGGCCCATTAACTATTGCTGTAATACTTTCTTCTATACTAAGTGTGGATTGCATCGGCTTACTATAATCGTAACTGGAGATTTTGACAATCAATAACCAGCCGTGGCGGCTTCACCAGCGAACGCCGAGCTCATGATCTACCAAAGTATAAAGATATGCTTTGCCGTAGGTACGATTTCAGAGGGGCCCCCGTTTTTATTTTAGTCTAATATGCCTAAAAGCTATTCTGCCTAGTACTAAAATATTTCTGAACTAGAAGTTCAAAATACCTAATTGTTATTATTATTTTCTGGTTTTCAGTGCACATAAGATAAAACCGTTTAACTTAAAAGTTTTTTTACCGATTTTTTATTTTCGTTTATATTCTGATAGTAAAGTATTAAATAATTCTGGTAATTAAATAAAATCAAATATTTAATACTTTACTATCAGAATATAAACGAAAATAGAATAAAAAAGTCTTTGCCCCGATCCGGATTCGAACTCTGAATCATCGGTTCGTGGTCGGAAACTCTACGCACTGCGCTATGGAGACATGTTCGATTTACATTCAATACTAGAATTTAGAGGACTAATAAAAATATAGGATCTTCTTTCAATGCGCAGTAGGGAACGCAACGTTTACCGGCAGCCAGACGGGCCGCATCCTGTTCTAGAGAGCATAGTAAAAGATATATCAAAGAGCCAGACGTCTTAAAATACTTAAGTTGCTAGCTCTCGTACTATTAATTTTAATTGTGTATTTTAGACATTGTGAATGATCGTAAACTAAAAAGTATAAAGTATAATTGAAACCTCTAATTTATTCCGCTAATTTCGAGGTTCTGAATAAAGCTTAAAACTGAAATATTAAACAAATAATTAATAAATATACAACAAAAGATTTCCTTGCCAAACAAAAAAAAATAAACAAAAAAAAAGATACAAATCTGATATATTATATCAATGTCTTATAAAGTTATCAATTATTATGGTAAAAGACTTGTATAGGCAACTTTTTAATTTATTATAAACAAGCAAGCTACGAGTACGAACTGGATTGGAATACTAACGTGTCATATATCATGTATCTATTTTTATACATCGCTTCATTGTTTGTGTTAAGTGTGTTTCAGTATTCTTATCTAGCAATATTAACCTAATTAAAATCACTACAACGAAGTCTTACTGTTGTCTTAAACCTAATTTAATATACCACAGCATTAAAAGTCCCATTTGTTGGCAAGCATCTTTAACAATAATATCATCAATACTACATAGTTATTATTTACAACTTAGATTCTAATCTTTTTTTTGAATAACACCGGTTTTAAACACTGGTTATATTTCGATCGATCAATCTCAGTTTATTTAACAGGCGACTAAACCTAGAGAAAACGAAAAAATATCGGTTATTATTCAAATACTTTCTAATAATAAATCAGTCTATAAAAAACAGATACTATAAAAGTAAAAAAAAATCACATTACTTTTATTTTAAAGCTACTTTTAGCTGCAAATGCAGAGTGGTATGTAAAGGTTAACTTACATAATATCGTCAGTGAAACGTGATAACCTGCTAACTCCATTTTTTACGTTAATAAGTTTTTTTATACTATTAAAAAGAGAAAAAAATACTCTATAAGTAAGGAAAGCGAATACATTTTTCCCATTAAAGAAAATTTGTTATTTTAACTCAGTAATATCTGCTAACTCCCAATGATCTGAAATAGCCACCGAAAGGCTGCTATCTCCGTAATTTCCGTTACGATCACGCTAAAGCAAACACACGGATTCTTATTCGTATGTTTCTTTAGTACAGTACGTCGATCCAGGGTCGCACTAGTGGGAGGGGCCCGTGTGGATCTTTTCGCCTTACGTTTTGGTCAATTTTTTCCTATTATATACAGGGTGAGTCTTAAATAAGTGCAAATATTTTTAGGGGTAGTATATTTCGACCCAAGAAACACGATTATGAAGTTTTTTGCGCGACTTATTTTTGAAAATTTGGAAATTAAAAAAAATTGGATTTTTTTTAATTTTTAGTTTAAAAACATACTTTGTAATATGGCAACATAGGTAGTAGATGAAATTAACAAGAAAAAAAAATACAATGATACAATCTCAAAATTATAGCAAAAAATTGGAAATTTTAAAAGTGAAATAACTCGGTTGTTTTGGATTTATTTGAAAAAAACGGTAAAGAGATAATATTATGTTTCTTTTATCGGAGATTTACCAGCCCTCAAAATATTTGCCCTGTATAGAAACTGTATAGAAATGTATAGAAATCAGGGAACTACCCTAATGCAAGGTAAACCAATGCAAAAGCAAATGTTGTTAAGAATAAATAATGAACTATAAAGGGGGCCCACCAAGGCTGGGGGCCCCCCTAATGGTTATATACAGGGTGGTCCGTACTGTATTCCGGAAACTTCGGTGACATATTCTGCAGAAAAAAATAAGTAAAAAGTTCGTATAAATATACGACCTAAAATGCTTAGTTTCGGAGATACAGGGTGTAAAAGTGTCACTTTTATTTCTATTTTTTTCCAAATTATTTCTGAAGCAACGTCAATATTTGGATGAAAATTGGTGTCTGGGGGTTTTTTGACATGAGAAATTTGATTTTTATCTCAATATGACTCCTACATGTAGGGGGCGCCACTTCTTAAAAAAAATGTAGGGGGCGCCACCTACATATATTTTAACTGGTTTGAAGAGTAATAACTTTTCGTCCGTACCTGTATAAATCTATTAAGTAAAAAAATATATATTTACGGCGTAATTTACGTAAAAAAGGTCTCTTGGTAAAAACCGCTACGAGTAATAGTTCTCGAGATATTTGGAATCGAAATTATCAATACCTATTATCATTGACATAAATTAAACATGTCAACTAAATAGTTGTTAGACTAAAATCATAAATTTGAAATGTTTTTGTGCCGAGAGTTCAACAGAAACTGTTTTATCATCATTTGTTCGCAGAAAAAAATATGATTAATTTAAAAAAATAAAAAATTCCCAAATTTATTATTGTCAAATAACTATCAACGTGTTTATTTTTTGTCAATAATGGCATGTATTGACTATTTCCATTCTAAATATCTTGAGAACGGTTGCTTGTAGCGATTTTTACCAAGAGATATTTTTTATGTAAAAAGTCACGCAAATGTATATTTTATCACTCAGTAGTTTTATACAGGTACGGACAAAAAGTTATTATCTTCAAAACAGTTAAAATACATGTAGGTGGCGCCCCCTACAAATAGGAGTCACATTGACATCATCAAATCAAATTTCTCGTGTCAAAAAAACCCCAGATACCAATTTTCATCCAAATATTGACGTTACTTCAGAAATTATTTGGAAAAAGTCGAAATAAAAATGAAACTTCTACACCCTGTATCTCCGAAACTAAGCATTTTCGGACATACATTTATACGAACTTTTTTACCTATTTTTATCTACAGAGTATGCTGCCGAAGTTTCCGGAATACAGTTCGGATCACCCTGTATATATATGGCCAGTCCGACCCTGCGTCGATCCGTTCTGTAAATACGGGGTATCCGTAAATGGTAAGGGGAAAAACGAAATTGTCTATATACGAGCAATTCATCGGCGTGCTATAAATAGTTTAAATAACATTACTTAGTCGTACAAGAATTTCCATAATACCTAATCAGTTTTATTTTTTTCAACGTTTTTCCACGTAAATGATACATCATTTTTATAAAAGTTAAAAAAAAATAAGGAGAAAAGTAATAAAAATTTAATAAAATGAAAAACAGTGCGGTTTTTCAAGCTCGGTCTACTACCGTTGTATAAAAATTAGGATAAGCATGGAAGGATTCTATCATATCTTCTATTATAAGTTTAATTTTTAAATTATTTTCATATTCATTAAGTCCAAAATGCTGCTACTTCGGTTCTTTAAAAATGCATTAAAAAATTATTGGTTTTTGGACTTGTATGTTTTGCTTCTAGACCGACGATATTCTAAATATATGGTTGTAAATATCATATTTTTAAATTTAATTCATTATTTCTAAATCTGTTTGGGTAATATTCAACTCCATTTTCAAAATTTCAAACAATAAAGGTTGCTATCTCCAGAAGTATATTTTTATTTCTTATTTCTGCAAGACGAATATCTGCTATCTCCCTATTGTATCTGAGAAAAATTATGTAACACGAAATATTGAGTTTTATTGTTCCCCAGCAAATAAAATTCTCATCTCTTTATCATATTAACGCATGAAAATACTTCCTACATGTGTACATATTTTTTGTACCGTTTTTTTGCTCTCCTGTAAAATTAGAAATAATGGAGTTAGCAGTTTATCACATTTCACCGACGATATGTACTACAGAGTTATCAACAGCAATTAAAATAGTTGTAAATACTGTGTTAAGAGGATTTTAGTATAGTGATTGGTACTGATGCCAAAACAAATTATTGATAGAATTTTTTTGTCCCTCATTTTCTTTCTTCAAAATGCAAAATAATAATACAAAATATTGCCTCTATAAATTGTAACCAATAAACCTTTTCGTAATTTTTTATGTTGCTGTATCATATAAGTGCCTCATCTATATTTGTAATACTTAGACCTTTACATTGCACTCTGCAGTGGATAAATAAGTTTGAAAAAAAAATCTTTGCATTTTTATAAGCTTCATCAGAATTAAAGACCACTAAAGGTGTTATATAAATAAAATATACTTAATGACATCAAGCCTAATTAGAAAATAACCAAAATGTGAAGATTGTATTAAAATTGTATTTTAATAAAATATTGCCCCCTTTTCAAACAGAAGAATTTATAGTTTTTAAAAAACTCATTTTAGAATTCATAATAATACAAAAATTATAAAAAATAGACTTAGCTCTATGTTTTACCTTAATAAGTCTAGCCTGTACTTAAGAACCGTCGCGTCATAAAGGACTAATTATGGGCATCTTAAACCTACAAAAATAAACGTGGCACACATTAGCTTTACACATTCACTGATTTTATTAAAAAATATATATAGTCAACGCTAAATGTGTAGTGGGCTTGTACAGACACACAGTGAAATGTAAGAAGTAACAAACAGAAAAGTATATCAAAAATAATTATACACATAAAAAGTGCTAACTATAGGAGTTTTTTTAAATGCTGATTACCATAATTTTCTTCAAGATATTTAAATTAAATGCAAAAGAAATATAACAAATACAAAATGGCGCGCTTTTTTTTACTAAATATGTGCTATATCAAATTATAAACTCTAAATATCAGTGGCGTGCAGTGCAAATCAAAGCAGGGCAGGCAAAAATTGACAAAATAATAAAACCAGAATAGCAAAAGTAATTAATTAAGTAATCAAAATAATTTTTTTTTATATAAATTGGGGATTTTTTTTTCAGATTTGGCATCACTGTACAGGACAGCATTTGAATAAAAAGATTAAGGAAGGAGCATATGAAAAATCTTCTCTATCGCGACAGGCTCCTAAAATGACCGACTTAAATTTCAGTGTATCAGTGCCGTTCTAATTTTATTCAAAACGTGTAAAAATATGATGTAGGGTAGACTCAATAATTTGTTGTTTTATTTTACGTTGTGAATAAATGTTGGTAATTATTAAAATTGTTATAAATATGTACAGCTGGTTCCAAAAAAAATGAATACGACTCTTTACACATTTTTTCGAATATTTGGGCAGTGTATATTTATGTGTCAAGTATTTTAACATGTTAAGGTTATTGTGACATTGTATAAAGCAATTTTGCTTTTGATAAAGTGAAAATAGAGAAATGGGGGACTGGTATCATAGAATATACTGCCCGAAATAATAAAAATATGTTTTAAATTGTATTCAAATTTATTGGAACCAGCTGTACAATTCTAATAAAAATAGATAAGTTATAATTAATAAACATGCGATACGCTACTGAAGCAGGAAAGTCAAATTGATGTATCTGAATTCTTTGACAAGTAACAAATAAAAGCAAAAATGTAAGAAAAATATATAATTAGTTAATTTTAAGTGAATTTCATAAATGATCGGTTTACTACACGTATGTATGTATATTATACATATATGTATAGTCACTTACTAGCGAAAAGTTATTCACTCGATTTTTGACCGAAATCTACCGCACTCTAACCAAACTAAATCTAACCAACTGTTTTACAGTTTACAGTCTTTTTCGATAAATCGCAATAGTGTCACTGTTAATTCAAGTTCTGCCACAATTTCCTTCTAGATTTACTACCTTTAAGCAACTATCAGTAGAATAAATAATAAATAACATAAAATAAGCTCAGTAAAGACTGACAAATCCACAAAATTTCAAATCAAATTCAAATATGTCAAATGAATCGTCAAACAGAACTATCAAGGATTCCCACCCTAGAGTCCTCTTTCCGTCGACCATGCATGAATACATGGATAGCATTATACTTCTTCTTCCATCTTTTATTCAAAGCTTCCAATAAACCCAGGCAAAAATAAAAATGGTTTTAAAATATTACATTTTTCTTTTTCCAAATATCTCCAGATGTATTCGAAATTTTATTTTTAAAAGCGTCATTTTATTGGACTTATTGGGCATAATATCCATGTTATTGAACATGATGTAACCTACTTCATATCTCTTATAGTATCCAAGATCGCAATGGTTACCCCCAACATTAGAACATAAACTAAATATAATTTGTAACCATACAGTATGTGTTAAGTCTATATTAAAAGGTTGGGTTTTGAGGATGAATTTTAATACTTTTCTTTAAGAAGTTATTAACTAAAAATACAAAAAAATACAGTATTTGAAAAACAATAAAGCAAACGAAAATGCAAAACTGGATATCGTATTATACTTCTTACATTGCGCATCTTGTCTGTACAAACCCAGCGTCAACGCCTCCCAATAATAACACATCTCTACCTAAGCTAAGTAAGTGGACCGAACGACGAACGCCGACGCCCACCAACAAACGAGACCCCGGTTAATCCCTAACCTACCTGATGAAGCACGTCCGACACAGTTTGTTAGGCCCTATGCAGTCGTCGTGACAGAAGGCGCCGCACTTTTTGCACACGACCATCGCCTTCAGGCTGCAGGCGCACGTATCGTGCTTCGGCTGCTGCATCGCCATCGGGTGGTCGCCGATCATGTTCTCGCCGATGATCGTGTAGTTGTTGGTGTGCACGTCGGTGCTGACGTCGCCGTACGCGACGCCGGGCGGCAGCCGCGGCCTCCTCGTCACCGCCTGGGTGCCGGGGTTGGGACACTGCAACACGAAGTCGCTGGGCTGCGCGTGGTGAGGGTGATCGGCGTCGACGCTGGCCGGCCGGCCTCGACCGCCGATCGTGTGGGATGAGGCGCCGCCGCTGCTGATGGGGCCGCTACTGAGCTGTTGCTGTTGGGAGGGAGGGGCGGAGGAGGAACGGGGGATGGTGTTGTGGTCCACGACGCCTGCGCGCTGGACGAGGATGTATTGGCCTACGGAGCCGACGGGGTTCTGGCCCTCAACCATCTGAAAGTACCACAAACATATGTTAATCAAATAATACCGTGCTGGCAACTGTTACTTTTGGGTCGGTATTTACATGTGTAGAAGTAAATCGTATAGAGATCTTATTATGTCGGAGTGAGAGAAATGCGATGGTGTGCTGTTGCGGCGTTGCCGGTACGCTTTTCCCTATCAAGTAAAGTAAAATCACTGTCACAAACCGCTTATTTTTAAAAGACTATTTTTTCGAAAAGATAACTAGATAAAATCATTAGATGTGTTTCTGAGCATCTGAAATGAAATTATAAGGATATAGTTAGGGTGTCCATTTTTTATAACAAGAAAACGTCAGAAATCGCGACAATTTAAAAACTCAACTTTTTAACACTTAACACGCTATAACTTAAGAACCACTTTGGATATTGAAGCTTTTTTATTATGAAGATCGGATCTTCTACAAGATGTTTAAATAGAAAAATTCGATAGGCTTGTTTTTTCTCCAATCAAAAATTTTAAACAACCCATCCATTTACTTTTAGTGCATAGCAATTTTCAGCAATCATGTAACTTTTTTATTTATAAATATTTTCACATATGAAGAAAATTTTTGAAACACAAGAAATTTTTTGAAAAAACTCAAAAATCATTTCTAATTGATTTCGAAATGTCGATTTTTGAATTCAGAGTTCTAATAGCGCGACCACCGTCGAACACCAACTCAATTCCACTTATTTTTACCAAAAATGCAAGTATTATTTCTAACTTGCACTTAAAAATTTTCAAGCTATAGGAAAAATTACAACGACTCGTTAATAAATAAATACAGTATCACGAGACGCAATTAAATCGTGAAGCTGAACGCATGATGTACACCTTTCCCTAGAATTTTAAGTACTAGTACTGATTGGGTCGACCGGTCGACCACGACAAATCTGCTATATCCCCTTCCGCGTCTCTTAGCGATGTGCACAGTTCCTCAGTTTATTTCATACGTTTGGCAACGTGTTTACTGTTCCCTCTTTGTTCAGTATATTATAAACGCACTGTACTCTCCTTACATATGGAAATCTCGACCCAAAACTAACCTTTGCCAGACCTTAGTATATGTTTTATAGTAGGGGAGACCAAAATACTAAATGGAGATTTACTACAGCGTCGTGGGGACCTACTGTATTGTGAAAATGAGATGCTAAAAAGCAAAAAAGTTATATAATGTATGCTTTTTACTGGTGGGAAAAGCGTAGGAATTCTTTTATTGATTTTTACTGGTGGGGGAAGCGGAGGATTCAAAAATGTAAAAAAAGTCTCAAAGAAATACTTGGGCATTTCAGATACTAATAGTGTATGTGCACTAAGTGTTTCTGAAAACGGAGGAATATTAATCTACCGGTTTGTATGGTGGGTGTAGCCATAAGAAGGGGTAGAATTTTTTTTGTACAAAATAATTCGGGCAAACAAAAAAAAAGTAAACCCTCTTTATGCAGGTCTTCTGATCATAAATCTGTAATATGTATTTTAACGTGTAAAGCTCCATCTACACGTTTTACCTTCTATTTTGCCTGTCAGTTAAAACGTAAGGCCGTCCAGGAAACTGGCGGCAGTTCTCTAGATGGTCTTATGCCGTATTTGCCTCGTTGCCTAGACATAACGTTTTTCCTGTCAGGTAAGATGGATTAAAGACTACCACAGACACTTAAAAAAATAAAACTTTGATATTTTTTATTTATTTGGGACACTCTCTATCCTGTAAAAATATTTTTAAATTGCAGCTCTAATAGTCATTGAACGAACTCAAAACTTACAATTTGCAAAAATCTAATCGTTTAACTACAATACTCCGTGTCATATGTGGTGAACAACCCTGTAGAAAGAATATAATAATCAAAAAAACTACCCCGAATCAAAAATTGATAGCAGAATGAATAAAGGAAATCAGCCACATACACTTAAAAACGTAGGTCAATAAGCCCTAGTACCTACACAGAATCTATTTTGTTAAAATTATTACTCACTCACTTCTGGGCTTAAAGCAGATCCTTGCGGTAAAACTGCCATGGTGACTGGTATGCCTTGACCGGAAGTAGTAAAAACGTGCCTTACAACAACTGGTGGACTAGGCTGACGTTGTTGATGGAATGGTAAACCTGGCCGAATTTTTGGACCCATATTTTTAATTCCATTATTACCTAAGAAGAAATAAATATATTGTATGTTTCTACATAGCCAACTTAGGCTGTATTCCGTTGCAAAACCAGGCGAACCAGACCGGCTCAGATGAAGATTTGCAGGTCCAATATTAAAACAGATCAATAATAAATAAACAAATCTAATCAATATTTATATTTTTATAGCTTACAAAACATTCATGATTACTTGTTGTCTTGTTTTTCATGTTTTCTTTAAATGTTCCTGACTTTAAGAAACAATGGCTGCATGATAAGTTTAAATGGTCCTAAAAAGTAATTCTATTTAGTTAATGAAATTTATTTACGTTTACTGCCTACCTCCATTGCTTTTGGATGTAAATACAAAATATTATTACAAATTTTAGAAATTCCATTTTTAAGAATCCAATATTTGCTTCATTTCTGTCACATAAATGACATTTATTGACAAACAAAACCAGAAAAACCAGCCTTCTCGCGCTGCACAGTGGTTCCCAGATAGGTCATTACTTAGAAATATTAATTTTAAAATTTTTGCATGAAACTGTTGCTAATACTTTTCTTATATTCCCCTGTAAACGATACATAATAAATAACAAAATCAAGTAAGCCTAGTGTAGCGTTTTTTTTTATTAGAAATGTCACATTTTTGCTACTGGTATCAAGCTGACATAAACAGTTTTCAGATAACGCCAATTAATTACTTATTTTATTAAAATTGATAAAAGCTGTTGCCTTTTCTGCAATGGACGTTCGAAAAGAAGGTAAAAAGAACTGTTTTTTCTTTTTTGCACTTAATTAAACCTAAGTAATATTAGTTTATGGCAATTTATTTGAAGGCAACAAAAATAGTATTTTTACATTTTTGCTTGTCACTCTTTAAGACTTTTAACTACTTTCCTTTTCAAATCCTCTTAAACGGCATGATAATAATTGTTGCTTAAAGTATATTGCATATACATTAATTGCCACTGGCTGCCGCGAATTGCCGCCGGATCTTATACCGGGTGGTTAAAGATTGACTTTTTGTCTTAAAATAAAAGTAACTTATTTTTTTCTTTTTGTGTCAACTTATTTCGTGGACACGCTGTATATCAATTGACAATAAAATTGTATTTATAAAATGAAACAATTGGCTCTTTTATTTTTTCAACATTTAAAATAAATTTGACCTCTTCAATATGAAAAAACATGTACATATGTGCAAACAAAATCTGTATACCTTAACGAATAGTTAGAACTTAAAATGCAAATCACACGAACTGGACCCAATTTTTTTAATACATATTACATTAAGCCTTTTATATACATTAATTTAGCATTTGTTATCAATTTCTATTAAAAAAGGTGCAGTCAAGCTATATCTAGATATCTAACAGTTATGACCGCGCAGCTAATTAAGGGGAACCACTGTGCGCTGGTTAGTTTGGTGACAGTTATAACCGAATTTTCCAGGAACCGTGTTCCGTAATAAGAAAACTTTCAGGAAACCGATAGAAACGGAACATCAAACCGTAACCAAGGTAAGCAACGGAATACACCCTGAGCATTGAAGAGAAACGTCGTATGCGTAAAGGTAGTTTCAATACTGAATCATTGTCTGCCATATTCAAAAATAAAATATTGTTATAACTTACTCGCAATCTGGAAATTGCCAGAGGGCAACGGAGGCGTAAACGTCTTGTTACCCCTCGAAGATGTCACCGAACTGTACTGCGTTTGTCGATTATCGCTCTTCTTCGCGTTATTCGCAGTTGCGACGGCCAGAAGACTGGGAGGTGGCTTCAGCTGACATCTAAGCTGATCTCTGTTGGGGCTGTTCTGTATGACGGCCTGACAAATCTGGTAACTCCTTTCTAAATTCACTTCTCCCGGAGGTTTACTATTTCCACGGTTACGGTTAGTACCTGCTGGAAAAAAATATATATATAGTGTTGAATAACCCTTCAAAATGTTATCAGTCAACCATGCATTAACGTTTGAATCTGTGAATAAAACTTTGAATAAGAAGACTAAGGAAGGAGCATATCAAAAATCTTAGGTACACCGCGATGGGCCTCAAATATGGCCGATTTAAATTCCGGTTTATCAGTGCCGTTCTAATTATATTTAAAAAATGTAAAACTATGATGTAGGGTAGACGTGGGGTAGACTCAATAATTTGTTACTTTATTTTACGTTGTGAATAAATGCTGGTAGTTATTAAAATTGTTATAAAAATATATAATTCTAATAAAAATAGTTAAGTTATAATAAGTATTTATTAACACAAACATCCGATACGCTACTGAAGCAGGTAAGTCAAATTAACGTATCAAAATTCTTTGACATCTGATCTTTGACAAGTAGTAAATAAAAGCTAAAATGCAAGAAAATATATAATTTAGTTAATTTAAGTGAATTTCATAAATGATCGGTTTACTACACGTATGTATATTATATAGTCACTTACTAGCGGAAAGTTGTTCCATTATTTCACTCAATTTTTGCCGAGATCTACCGCACGCTACACAACCAACTATTTTAGAGTCTTTTTCGATAAATCGCGATAATGTCACTGTTAATTTAAGTTCTGCCACAATTTCCATCTAGATTTACTACCTTTATACAACTATCAGTAGTAGAATATATAATAAATAACATAAAATAAGCTCCGTAAAGACTGACAAATCCACAAAATTTCAAATCAAATTCAAATGTGTCAAATGAATCGTCAAACAGAACTGTCAAGGATCCCCACCCTAGAGAGCTTTTTCCGCCCACCATGCATGAATACATGGATAGCATTATGCTCCTTCCTTAGTCTTCTTATTCAAAGGAATAAAAGGATTAAGGAAGGATAATATCAAAAAACATAGATCGAACGCGACGGGGTCCTAAAATGGTCAACTTAAATTCCGGTTTATCAGTGCCGTTCTAATTTTATTTAAAACGTGTAAAAATATATGATGTAGGGTAGACATGGGGTACTCAATAATATGTTGTTTTATTTTTCGTTGTCAATAAATGTTGGTAGTTAATGAAATTGTTATAAAAATATACAATTCTAATAAAAATAGATAAGTTATAATCATTACTTATTAACACAAACATCCGATACGCTACTGAAGCAGGTAAGTCAAATTGACGTATCTAAATTCTTTGACATCTAATCTTTGAGAAGTAGTAAATAAATGCAAAAATGCAAGAAAAAATATATAATTAGTTAATTTTAAATGTATTTAATAAATGGTCGGTTTACTATATTATACAGGGTGGCGCACCTCATTCGCCTCGGTTGATTATACGAAAACGGAAAGATGTAGAAACAAAATTTTTTATGGGTATATGTAGAGAGGGTTAATGTGCATAATTTAAAATTAGTTGCAAATGTACAGGGTGTGTCAGAACTAAGGCCCATACCAAAGTTATATTTTTTCTTATGGAACACCCGGTATTTTATTTCATTTTTGGATTCTTGGCCATAAAATAAGGCATTTATTATAAAGGTTTAATATGTTTAAATGCTTTGGTTTTTGAGATATTTAAAGATATTTAAATATGCATGCTTTAATAAAAACGTTTGTCAACACCCTGTACATTACTTTTCAGAGTTAATTCTTGTGCTGACTTTGAAGCCAGAAAAATAAACTTTACTAAAAAATGTTATTGCTTCCTTAAATGTATACAGGGGTATCAAAAATTGCTGGGCTATTTTAAATATTTATTTTACATAAAAACTTCGTTATTTCAAATACTATGTATTTTTTAAAACAAGTCGAAGCAGATTTAAATGCTCTTTCAAACTATAATAGGGTTTCCTATACCTATCTGGCTCAGATTTTGAATAAAAAGCGATTTTTCACACGATTACCACACTATCAGCTCTGCGAAATAGGAAAAGTAGTATTTCCAAAAAACTCTTGTCAAGAAAATTTCTATTTGGATATCTTTGAGCATAAACTCTTCAGGCCAACAAGCAATTGTCCTCGCAAAATAAAATTAATAGTAAAATGAATGGAAGGAATGGATATTATGTTCCATTCCTCCCGCCAACAGATACTGCTTTATTTTTCTTGATAAAATAATAAATACTTAAAAAATGTCTATACCTATGTGGCGGATTCATCTATCCAAAAAAATCCTTATGGGTTTTTCGCCACTGCACTGCAAGAAAAATCTACAAAATAAAATAGTTATTTTTTTTTAACACTTCTGCATTAAACCTAAACGGACGCTGCTTGTCAGAAGTTGTGTTTACAGTAATAAAAATTTGCCTAACAAAGAAAAAAATGCTTAACGTTTCGGAAAGTTTTCTCTTTCCGTCGTCGGAAGCAAAAAAATATAAAGAATCAAGAAAAAAAAACTATTTAAAATATTTAAATTGAACTATTCGAGAACACTTTACTTTTTAAAACAGATACGTCTACAAGAAATCGTTGACGTTCTGTTAAAATGACATTATATTAAGTTAAACTTCAAAATTAACAATTACTACCTGATAATTACTTATTAAGGTTATTTAAATAAATAAACATAACATACGTGAAATTTAAAAATAATCATACAGAAAGTTTGGGCTTTTTGGTTTTACCTTATTAAGTAATTATCAGGTAGTAATTGTTAATTTTGAAGTTTAACTTAATATAATGTCATTTTAACAGAACGTCGACGATTTCTTGTAGACGTATCTGTTTTAAAAAGTAAAGTGTTCTCGAATAGTTCAATTTAAATATTTTAAATAGTTTTTTTTTCTTGATTCTTTATATTTTTTTGCTTCCGACGACGGAAAGAGAAAACTTTCAGAAACGTTAAGCATTTTTTTCTTTGTTAGGCAAATTTTTATTACTGTAAACACAACTTCTGACAAGCAGCGTCCGTTTAGGTTTAACGCAGAAGTGTTTACAAAAAATAACTATTTTATTTTGTAGATTTTTCTTGCAGTGCAGTGGCGAAAAACCCATAAGGATTTTTTTTTGGATAAATAAATACTTACTTATTAACCTTATTGTAGGTAAATTAATTAGAAATAACCCAGGAAATAACCTGTTATAAATTTAAATAAAGTCCATAAACTAATGTCGATTTTGAAAATAGCTACTGAGTGTCACTAGAAAATTGCCATGGCGACATCAGCCATCTTGATTACAATTTTATTGAAAAATCGCTTTTTATTCAAAATCTGAGCCAGATAGGTATAGGAAACCGTAATATAGTTTGAAAGAGCATTTAAATCTGCTTCGACTTATTATAAAATATAGAGGGTGTTGCGTTTGAAATAACGAAGTTTTTATGTAAAATAAGTATTTAAAATAAACCAGTAATTTTTGGTACCCCTGTATACATTTAAGGAAGCAATCAAAATTTTTTGTAAAGTTTATTTCTATGGCTTCAAAGTCAGCACAAGAATTAACTCTGAAAAGTAAAGTACAGGGTGTTGGCAAACTTTTTTATTACAGCATGCATATTTAAATATCTTTAAATATCTCAAAACCCAAAAACATATTAAACATATTAAACCCTTATAATAAATGCCTTATTTTATGTCCAAGAATCCCAAAAATGAAATAAAATAAAAGGTTTTCCATAAGAAAAAATATAACTTTGATATGGATCTTAATTCTGACACACCCTGTACATTTCAAAATAATTTTAAATTATGCACATTGCCTCCCCACATATACCCATAAAATATTTTGTTTCTACATCTTTCCGTTTTCGTATAATCCACCGAGGCGAATGAGGTGCGCCACCCTGTATAATCACTTACTAGCGAAAAATTATTCCATTATTTCACTCGATTTTTGACTAGATCTACCGCACGCTACACAACCAACTATTTTACAGTCTTTTTCGATAAATCGCAATAGTGTCACTATTAATTTAAGTTCTGATTTTAAAAACATTTAAAATTTATTATTTTAGTCTAATAACTATTTAGTCAACATGTTTATTTTTTTATTTATGTCAATGATGACTGGTATTGATAGAGAACGAGAGAACCATTACTCGTAGCGATTTTTATTAAGAGACCTTTTTCGCGTAAAAAAATGTCGTAAATGTGTATTTTTTTAATCAGTAGTTTTATACAGGTATGGACGAAAAGTTAATACTGTTGTTTAATTCAGTTAAAAATATGTAGGTTAAAAATATGTTTTGCGCTAAGATCAGGTTCTAAGGAACTTAACTTATCAACCTCTAGAATGATCTATTGTGCCCTTTTTTGAGTCGCATCTTCGTTATGCCCTTCCACATTCTGGGGTACTTGCTGCGCGACAAAATTTGATCGTATTTCATTTTTTTTTATTGTATATTAACTTCAAAAGAGAGCAGTTCGATATTTATTGGGACTGAACAGTAGAACTCACTGCCAGAATTTCTTTATTAAACATTTCAAAATACTGACTCTTCCTTCCTTATTCATTTTTGAATCCGTTTGCTTAATCCGCAAGCACATATATCTGCTATTTCGGAAAGGCCATCTCACAACTATCCACTTAGGAATGTGGAGCACGATCTTTATCTGCCAACCCCGAGCTCAGAACTAGTTAAAGGCTCAATACTGTACAATGCCAAAAAAATGTACAATCATCTGCCTTTGAATATCAAGTCACTTTCATTCTTTCCCGCATTTCGAAAAGCTCTGAAATCATACTTACTGGAGATGCGGTAAATATGCGATACTATATGCGGTAAACGATTTTTTTGTTGATGTTTAATCATGAACAATTTTGATCATCTCACACACTGGTTAAAGGTCTAGTATTTAATATTTTATAACTCTTACATAATTTTATCCATTTACAATTTTCCTTTTGTAAAATTTTATTGATACGCCTATGTTCTGCAATGTCCATGTATGTGTTATTTGTAACTTTAATGACGTAATTTTTTTTGAATTGATTTGTATTGTATGATATTTTTTATTATTTGTATATTTTTTATGCTTTTTTTGTTTTGTAAATGCTGTGTCAATGAAGCTATTTTGGCTTTTTGTACAATAAAGCATTGTTTATTATTATATTATTATAAGTGGCGCCCTTCTACAAGTAGAAGTCATATTGACATCAAAATCAAATTTCTCATGTCAAAAAACTCCCCAGATAACAATTTTCATCCAAGTTACTAGTTCAGAAATTATTTGGATAAAATCTAAATAAAAATGAAACTAAATAAAAACCCAACCCTGTATCTCCGAAACTAAGGACATACATTTATACGAACTTTTTTATTACAGTTGAGGGTTGGAACCTTTGGTGTTACACAGCAAAATAAAAACACTAAATCACCACAACACACCAAAACACTTTTACTTTTACACTGGACGTGCGTTTCGCTAACCATGTTAGCATCATCAGCAGATGATTATAAACTAAAGTACAATCTACAAGTTAAGCGTTTATATACTCGCTCAGTAGGCACCGAGTGGGCGTGGCAAAATCTAGCCAACGGAGTCAGAGTCAGTTCTTTTTCGGTTAAAAATAATATATTGAATTCATTAACAAAATTAAAGATATAACATTGCATGAAAGTGAAATTTTGGTCTCCTTTGATGTATCTTCGTTGTTCCCAAGTGTCCCAATTCCACATACTTTAGGCTACTTGAAGGAATTACTGAACGCAAATGGTCTCGACAACAAAACTGTGAGTGAATATATTGAGCTTACATCGTTATGTATGAAACAAAATTGTTTTCAATTTAATAACAACTTTTTTGAACAGCGGGAAGGTACAGCAATGGGTAATCCATTGTCTCCATTTTTGGCTAATTTATTCATGACCAGGTTTGAAGTGGAGGCTAAGAATCAGTTTGAGTATTTTCCAAGAGTATGGTTTAGGTATGTGGATGATATTTTTGCTGTTTTTGACACACATTCAGACACCATAGATAATTTTATTTCTAAGTTAAATAATCGTTTTCCTTCCATTAAATTTACGCATGAAATTGAGAACAACGACAGATTACCATTTCTAGACGTATTAGTTATTAGAAATACTAATAATTGCCTGGAATTTGATATCTATAGGAAAAATACGACCACACGCAGATATATTCCTAATGAATCACATCATAGTGTTGAACATAAAATGGCTAGTTTAAATTTCTTAGTTCATAGATTACTTAGTTTCCCACTTTCCAATTACCAATTACATTAGGAATGTAGCTGAGTGTAATGGATATTCTCCTTCACTAGTTGATAAATTAATTAGAAAACGTAGGTATAGGTTAATGATTTCTGAAAATTCGACTTTTCAAGTGGAGAAAGATACGTCTAAATATTTTTCGATACCGTTTGATAGAGAGTTATCCCGTGGTCTAAAAGGAATTTTTAAGAATGTCAATTATAAACTTGTGTATAGTGCTAATAATAAATTACAACAATTATTAGGTAATCCAGAAGATAAAACACCTCCACTGGAAAGGTCGGGTATTTATGAAATTTCTTGTAAAGATTGTAATCAGAAATATGTTGGGCAAACTAGAAGATCAATATTAACTAGATTTAAAGAACATTTAGCTCAGATAAGATATGGTAGACCGGATAAATCTTGCGTTGCCGAACATATTGTTGATAAAGAACATTGCATAGATCTTAATAATTTAAAATTAATTAAACAAGTCTCAAATTACAGGCAATTAGATGCATATGAAAGCATCAGAATTAATAAATGTAAAGATAGTATGAACAGAGTCAACGGTCCAATTCCTTCAAGTTCTTTGTTCCTACTACTCTATTGGCGGAAATCTAACTGTTACGCTCAGTGGGCTCTGACTCGGTTGGCTAGATTTTGCCACGCCCACTCGGGGCCCACTGAGCGAGTATATAAACGCTCAACTTGTAGATTGTACTTTAGTTTATAATCATCTGCTGATGATGCTAACATGGTTAGCGAAACCCGCGTCCAGTGTAAAAGTAAAAGTGTTTTGGTGTATTGTGGTGATTTAGTGTTTTTATTTTGCGAACTTTTTTACTTGAAGGAATTTATTGAATGGCACTGATAACCCGGAATTTAAGTCAGTAATATTGTATGTTTGTTATGTTCCTTCGTTAATCTTTTTATTCAATAGCATTAGTATTATTTAACCCACGGACATGAAACAGTGAAGGGAATTGGGACAAAAAAAATCGTTATTACCAAGTTAACTATAAAAAAGCAAAATTGCTCGACATGACCTATAAATTTAATATATTTATAGTTCATGTCCAGCTTACATAATTATGCAAAGTTCTGTAACGTAGTTCTTGTTGTTCGATTACAATTATTTAATTACTTATTTCTTTGATTCTGCCTATTATAAATGGTAAAAATTTTCTAAAGATAGCACTAAGTACTCTTCCAGTAAGCCAACAACACCGCGCAAAATTTATCGTGGGATCGCGGACTCAACCAACCTGATTGTTGGTGTTGGGGTTTCTCAGACGTTTCCTTGGCATGCGGTTGTAATGCGCACAACGTCTCGCTATGGACTGGTACTAGCCCCAATTTTATGCTCCTCCCTAGAAATAGTATCGAGAATATATCGACTAGCATTGAAATACCCAGTGGCGGTGTTATTGTATTGTAGGTATTTTATAGCATTCATTTATTTGTGCTGATTATCATTATACACGCTTTCTAACAAATATTACTGAGGTTAAAAGCCCACTAAACGGTTAAAGTTAAACAAAATTATTTCAGTTTACTACAAAATATTATACAGGGTGGTCCAAACTGTATTCCGGAAACTTCGGCAGCATATTCTGCAGATAAAAATAGGTTAAAAAGGTCGTATAAATGTATGCCATAAAATGATTTGTTTCGGAGATACAGGGTGTAGAAGTTTCATTTTTATTTCGATTTTTTCCAAATAATTTCTGACGTAGCATCAATATTTTAATGAAAATTGGTGTCTGGAAGTTTTTTGACATGAGAAATTTGATTTTGATGTCAATAGGACTCCTATTTGTAGGGGGCGCCACCTACATGTGTTTTAATTGTTTTGAAAAATAATAACTTTTTGTCCATACCTGTATAAAACTACTGAGTGAAAAAATATACATTTCCGTGATTTTTTACTTAAAAAATGTTTCTTGGTAAAAATCGCTACAAACAACCAAAACAAATATTTAGAATGGAAATGGTCAATACATGTCATTATTGACATAAAATGAACGTGTTGAATGGATAGTTATTTGACTGAAATGATAAATTTGAGAACTTTTTATTTTTTTAAATTATAATCATAAATTTTTCTTCGAAAAAAATGATGATAAAATAGTTTCTGTTAAACTTTTAGAACAGAAAGATTTCAAATTTATGATTTCAGTCTAATAACTATTTAGTCAACATGTATAATTTATGTCAATGATGGCAGGTATTGATAATTTTGATTCCAAATATCTAGAGAACCATTACTCGTAGCGATTTTTACCAAGAGACCTTTTTAAACTAAAAAAAATCGTAAATGTATATTTTTTTACTCAGTAGTTCTATACAGGTACGGACGAAAAGTTCTTACTTTTCAAACCAGTTAAAAAATATGTAGGTGGTGCCCTCTACAAGTAGGAGTCATATTGACATCAATATCAAATTTCTCATGCCAAAAAACTCCCAGATACCAATTTTCATCCAAATATTGACTTTAATTCAGAAATTATTTGGAAAAAATCGAAATAAAAATGAAACTTCTACACCCTGTATCTCCGAAACTAAGCATTTTAGGACATACATTTATACGAACTTTTTCATTTATTTTTATCTGAAAAATATGCTGCCGAAGTTTCCGGAATACAATTGACCACCCTGTATACACTCCAAATATACTGTCAGAAAACACCTCACGCCGGCGCCGCTGGATATTTTATGAATAATCATAACCTATTTTATTGTGTAACTATTCAAAAAATATTCACGTTATTGATAAAAATGCTAAACCTTCCTATCAATTGTGGGAAAATCTTAATCCTATAAACTTCTAAATTAATAGAAAACAAAACTTCTGGTATGGTGCAGATCAAGGATATTATAGAGATAAGGAGAGTTCGATTCCTATACTGTCAGTTATTTGACGTCATCTAGGGACCTAGTTGAATTTCGCGCTAAAGATTTTAGACAGTGACGCTTGTGTTTGACGCACGAGAGGAGGTCCCTAAGTGACGTAAGCATCACCGGAGACGATTTGACGCGATCCATCAGTTCTTTAGAATATACAGGGTGTCCCAGAAATAAGTGCAAGTATTTTAAGGGGTGGTAGATCTCGATGAAAGAAACATATTTTCTCTTTATCGTTTTCAAATAAGTCCAAAATAACGGAGTTATTTTACTTTGAAAATTTCCAAAAAAAAATATTTTTTGCTAAAATTTTGAAACTACTGGATCTTTTCTGAATTTTCTTTCTTGTAAATTTAATCTAATACCTATGTTGCCATATTATCAAAAAACTAAAAAAAATTCCAAAAAATTTCGAATTTTCAAATTTTTTTTTCGCGAAAAAAACCTCATAGGCGTGTTTCTGGGGTTGAACTATACTATCAGTTAAAATACTTGCACTTTTTTCTGGGACACCCTGCATATAGATGACATTTGTGCGCATTTTGACATCAAAAACCCTACTATTTAGACCAATGGAAGAGGCAAGAATACTATAACTAAAGGTTTAATCAATTTCTTCACCAACTAATCTAAAAAGATAAAAGAAACAATCGGTTAAATAAATGTGGACCAACTGATCAAAATGATAATATAGCCAACTGTTTCAATCATTACTGATCGATCCATATAACTAACTTGCAAATAAAACAAAACATTAGCCGCCCATACACGTAAGGGATTTTTAAGCGATCAGCCCCACAATCCAGATATTATGACATTCCATATCCGCCGGCTCGGTCGTTCAGAGTACAGATATTTTGGTATTCACTGCGAGTATCTGATCTTTCATATCTAATTCTCAAGGGTAACATTTTTTTAAATCATTTTTTTATGACCTTTAATCAGTACAAGTACTGGCACCAAGGACTAAAAAATAATATATTTCAACAATAACAATAAAAATAATTTGTTTTGTAGTGATAATGAGTGGTAGTCCCATAGACTTAAAATAAAATATAGACTGAGCATCTCATTCATAAATAGCTGGAAAATTCGATCATGTCTTGTTATTGTTTTAGGTTCTAACGAGTGCGACACGAGCGATAGCTAGGTTGTCTCCGTCGTAACGGTCGTTCCCTGACGACTCTGACGAGAAATGCAACACTGTCTTTCGGTTCTCAGTACACCTGAACTCTCCATAGCCAGGTAATTTTTTTTTATTTTAATGAAGCTATAATTCAATTAAAAATATCGTATTTAAACTGTTTTATATTTTATTAAGATTTAGGAGAAGGTTTTTAAATAAATGTTTAGAAAAAAACGTCTTAGAGTCCAAAAACAATAAAAATAATAAAATACATGTTATAGAAGAAATTTTAATAAGCGAAATTGCGTATTTAATTTTTGAAATTAATAATAAATTATTAATTAGTCAAACATTTACAACCCTAATAATAATCAAAACAGGATCTATTCTCTAGATATAATAGAATCGGCGACAGGGAAAGAAAAAAAAACTTTATGACTGTTGTATTTTTTTTCTGGTTGCAACTTTTGAGACGGACCCGGTATATTAAAAATATTGTTTCATAATGTAATGTCATTTTAAAATTCTTGTATGTTATTTTAGATTCTGAAGATAGTTTTAGAATAAACCGGAATATATTTTTAATAAAACCAGTATTAATTTTTTAACCGATGCCTAATATAATTTATCTATTATGTATAATAACAGGGTTATAATTATGATTTTGTTACAAAAACCTGTATATAAATGATTATGTAATAGAAACAAATCAGATTTTACATTTTACTAAAATATTATCTAAATAAGCGCCTTTCTACAACGCCACTGACTCCCAATTGGTAAATTGAGAGTTGCCTACCGGTCGAAAGTCGTTTCGGGACTTAAATGGATTATAGTAGTAGTCAAATTTCTTACAAATTTGGCACTGGCGAACCATATTTTATAGTTCTTGAATAAAAACAGTAAATAAAATAAACACTTAAGAACTACAAACTAAGAAAATGCGTTAATACAGCCGGGGACATAGCGGCAACAAAGCTTTACTGCACACGTGCGATGTGTACTACAAGACAATAAATGAATGATTAGGCGACCTCGCGTCTAATCGGTGTTATCATATTGTAAAGAACTTATCCTTTTTTAATAGTATCCGACTTATAATTTAGTAGCACAAGGATTATTGACTATTGTTTGACCGCGTTTAGATGTAAATAGTGTACTCTATATTTTATTTTAAGACTATGGGTAGTCCACTAACCTACAGATATTAATGAGAGATATAGATTGCGGCGGAACAAATCTTTCACATTCTTTCAAATCTCTTCCGCGTATGGGCGACTATTCTAAGAGAAATAATAATAAAAAAGCGTTCTACCATTACCTTTACCTCTATCTATATTGTTATTCTTTGGTTTACTCTTGATATGCGCAGGAACCGCTCTGATCGGCTGGATGGTACTTAAGGCTAGGTACGGCAAGGCGCTGGAACTCTGCACCAAACCCGGAACACGAGGAGGCACGATGGGGGGAGCGCACGGGGCGTTGTCGTGCAACAAGGAATTCCTGACGGGCGCCGACGTCACCACGGACGGCAGACACACGATCGTGGTGGGCGGTATAACAGTGGTGACAGTTTTGGCCGTGGTCGAGCTAACCGTCAAGTTGGCCTCGTTATTGTTCGTGGTAACCGTGCTGGTGATCAGCGTGTCGGGACTGGCTATTTCCGGCGTGAGGGTGACTTCTAGTTCCAGTTTGACCTGGTTGCCTTGGACGTATTCTGGATAGGACGCCGGTTCTTTTTCGGCGGTTTTGTTGTGGGCAGCGTGGGCGGACCCCAGAGCGGCCGCCACCATTTCAGAGTCCATTTTCACGTCGTAAGGCCAGTCGTTCGGAACGGGGAAGGTTCCCTCTTCTAACCTAACCTCCAATTCTTCCTGCATCGGTATAACCTGGAAAGCACACCGATATAAATAATCGCAAAACATTTTTCGAGGCACGTCATCAATCATATCAACATTGACACTAAAGTCTATAAACCTGACTCTTTGAATAAGAAGACTAAGGAAGGAGCATATAAAAAATCTTAGGTCCACCGCGATGGGCCTCAAATATGGCCGACTTAAATTCCGGTTTATCAGTGCCGTTTAATTTTATTTAAAAAATGTAAAACTATGATGTAGGGTAGACGTGGGGTAGACTCAATAATATGTTCTTTTATTTGACGTCGTGAATAAATGTTGGTAGTTATTAAAATTGTTACAAAAATATATAATTCTAATAAAAATAGATAAGTTATAATAATTATTTATTAACACAAACATCCGCTACGCTACTGAAGCAGGTAAATCTGGTAAATCAAATTGACGTTTCTAAATTCTAATTCTAAATTCTAAAAAAATCTAATCTTTGACAAGTAGTAAATAAAAGCAAAAATGCAAGAAAAAATATATAATTAGTTAATTTAAGTGAACTTCATAAATGATCGGTTTACTACACGTATGTATATTATATAGTCACTTACTAGCGAAAAGTTGTTCCATTATTTCACTCGATTTTTGCCGAGAAAATAACATAAAAAAGCTCCTTAAAGACTGACAAATCCATAAAATTTCAAATCAAATTCAAATGTGTCAAATGAATCGTCAAACAGAACTGTCAAGGATCCCCACTCTAGAGTGCTTTTTCCGCCCACCAAATATGAATACATGGATAGCATTATGCTCCTTCTTTAGTCTTCTTATTCAAAGACCCGACTAAATTAGATTTTGGCAAAAATGTTTATATTTGTTGTATAATTTAAGATACCGAGCAGCTCTTCATTTTACTTTATAGAGCAAATGACTGTAACAGATATTTTATTTAGATTAAAGCTACAAAAATTAGTTTAAATATATTTTACCCGATAATCGACCGTTTCCATACATATCAGCGACCCTGTATATAAGAATATTATATTAACAATAAAAAATAGGTAGATATTTACATTTCTCAATCACAAATACCGATCTAATTTATATAAATCTAACTCACCCTGTAGAATTTAATCAATTTTATTCATTTCTTTATAAATTATTCGACTGCGACTGCTAACTGATAAGAGTAAAAAGCATGGTCGGCATGATTTAAATCGTGATTTAAATCGTGATTTAAATCAAGTGATTTTTTTAATTTTAATCATGTCATTTAAATCAAAAAAAAATATTGAAACTTTATTAAAAATAACTGTACCTAAAAGTTACAAAAATGTGTCCTAGAAAACTATAAAAAATATTTCTATAACAGATATAACAGATAATAAATCAAAAGAATAATTGTAAATGTTATAAAACTATATAAAAATATCTATTCATCAATTTAATTGTTGGACCGATTTTTGAACTAATTTCCTGTGAATCCATTAGACCGCTAGACACAGGGAGTTATTTTAAAATTTATGTATAAGTGGCAAAAATTCGCTGTTCGAGTACATATCATTCGCAAAGCCTAGTGCAGAACTAGGTTCTTCTAATATAGAGAATATATCTTCATTCCCGAGAATCTATAATCGTTGTCAGAACATATGTTGTTTAATATTTTTTTTTGAATAGGTTGTATGTTTCCAAATTCCTACCGACATTTTGATCTGCAGTAAGTACTTTACACTTTGACATTAGATAATACAAACTAATTTCATTCTCGACTTAAGACTATTTCCGAACAATACTGTATTGTTTTATTAGGAGTAAAAATTATGCTTTTTTTGACGATGCTGTACCTTTGAAGGACCATCGGAAATCTATTCCGACATTACAGGGAGACACAAAAAGGACATTTTTACACCGAATAGAACATACTATTTTTTTAAACATTACAAATAATTTTTTAATCAGTTTCAAACATTGCAAATAATATAAACAGTAATCGAGCAACAATTTGTACACTCACTTGTGCTTAGGCGTAACTGTGCGTTACTTTTATGCCTAGGCGTTAAAATGACAAAAATTAATACTTTTGAGACGTTTGAAAAAAAATCCTTTTGATCTGAAGCGAAATACTTTTTTTGCGGAATATATTGGTGACCGATGTGGAAAAATCACACGCCCCGTAGAATTGTTAATGTTATCAGTATCGGGGTATAGATTTAGCCATTTAGGACAGGACTTTAATTGGAAATAAGTCCTAGTCATTTGAAAATCCAAATCAAAAAAATCTGATTTAAAACAAAAAAATCATGATTTTTTCTAACCCTGGTAAAAAGTATTCAACTACAGTTACCTGCACATTATCGGCTGCACTGATATTATTAGGAATAGTAGCGGACACGCTGACCGGCGCTTCCAAATTGTGCAGGGCCGGCACCTGAAGTAACTTCTCCGTGCTCGAGTCGACTAAGCCCCAACAACATTCTTCGCTCACTGAAAAAGTATTTGCGATCGTTTAGAGAACCAAAACATAATAAAATGCACAACGGTAACGGTCTAAGTGTATATTGTAAGTAATATTTTTGAAATCGGATATGTTGTGACTAAGTCAATACAGCATTTAAGTCGCTTGGCAAATTTATGGGTTAGTGATAGGGCTATACAATGGTTGTAATGTTAACTAAATAGAAAATTACACAAAAAAAATATTACGCCCGATATACAGGGTGGTTGGAACTATATTCCGGAAACTTCGGCAGTACATCCTGCAGATAAAAATAAATAAAAAAGTTCGTATAAATGTATGTCCTAAAATACTTAGTTTCGTATAGATACAGTGTGTAGAAGTTTCGATTTTTTCCAAATAATTTATGAAGTAACGTCAATATTTGGAAGAAAATTTTTGTCTGGGAGTTTTTTGACAAGAGAAATTTGATTTTGATGTCAATATGACTCCTACTTGTAGAGAGCACCACCTACATATTTTTTGACTGGTTTGAAGAATAATAACTTTTCGTCGGTGCCTGTATAAAACTACTGAGTAAAAAAATATACATTTACGACTTTTTTACCTAAAAAAGGTCTCTTGGTAAAAATCGCTACGAGTACCAGTACGCTGATTCTCCAGATATTTGGAATCGAAATTATCAATACCTGTCATCACTGACATAAATTAAACATGTTGACTAAATAGTTATTAAACTGAAATCATAAATTTGAAATGTTTTTGTGTCAAAAATTCAACAGAAACTGTTTTATCGTCATTTTTTCGCAGAAAGATTTATGAATAATATAAAAAAATAAAAATTTCTCAAATTTATTATTTCAGTCAAATAACTATCTCTACCTTAGACAAGGAAAGAGAGGGGACAGGTAACTCGGCAGCTGAAAGTAAGGCCACTTGTCACCACGCGAAATTCTCCAATGGCGTAGCATCAGAAATTAGCTTGTACCTAGACGATACAAAATATTTATTAAAACGTAAACTAATCGTTCATTTTTGAGTAATGCATATACAATTTTGTATTTTATAGTCTCACCTTTATAATATTAGAATATCTAAGTCGGTAATGCAAAATTTATTTAACAGTCACAGTGTAACGTGTGTATAATGCATAATTAAATAAAAAATAATGTAAATATATATGTTTTAAATGTGTATATACATATTACCGTATGATCGAAAAAAACGGCGTCTTGTTTGTTTGGAAATGACAATTTCACAAATTAATATTAAAAATTACATTATTCATTGAATAAGCAAGATAAGCGTAAGCACGTGTGAAGGGGATTGGCTAGATTCATTATTATACCGTATGATCGAAAAAAACGACGGCCAGTTGGCTTGTAAATTACGATCAATGACATTCCCCATATAATTCTACATATAAAATGACATAAAAACTATACAAAACGACATCGAAAAAAGACGGCGTAAGCGATGGCTATGAACTGAAGATCGCTGTCATTTTATATGTAAAATTATATGGGGAATGTCGTCGATCGTCATTTACAAGCCAACTGGATGTCGTTTTTTTTTCGATCAAACGGTATAATAATGAATCTAGCCAATCCCCTTCACACTTGCGTACCGATTCAATGAATAATGTAATTTTTAATATTTGTTACCTTCAATCATAAGAATATTCTAATTTTCCACAAAAAAAATAAACAATTCTAGAAGCTTTGTGTTATTTTATTTATTTTTAAATTTTTATTAATTACTTACTGAAACTGTTATTATACACCTAAATTAGCAAATTTTTTGAAAGAATATTTAAAAAAATATAGTAACAAGTAGTCCACCACAAGTTTTTCCACCCCCAGCAAATCTTGGCAGGTAAATTTAAGTTTTATATAACAACTATACATATAGATTTTTTATCACTAGAATTTTTAATTTTTTTTATAGTTTACAATTATCTTAATATTTGATAACAATACTTTATACATTTTTTTACAAGTAAAATATGTAATAAAATGACAGCGATTGCAGAAATTATATTTCTCTAATTATAATTTCCTACGCCACTGGAGCAATCCATGCTGAGTAGCATTATTTATAGTTTCAAACATTAATTATAATACAGGATATTGAAAATACTACTTGGAATTATTAAAAATAGTTTTGTTAGGATGTGGTACAAGACATATTAAAAGCATTTTAAATATTTTTACTGCTATAATGACAAAAATGTACATTTTATGACCACATAACAAAAGTTGTGTGTCGATTTTTACCTGTGAAATGTAATTCCAGCCACTTTTTTCTCGCTTTGGCCTTTGCAGCCATACGCTGAACATTTCACCATACTAAACAACACAGTTTATAAATTTAAAACAAAACAGTATTCCCAAAAAACATAAAAATTCGCTTGGTGTCACTTCGAAATCTTGTCACCAAAGTATGGCCGCCGATCAAATTTTGGCCTCAAAAATTTTTCACTGGAGAATATGCGTGTTAGCTGTCCCCTCTCTTTCCTTGTCTAAGATCTCTACCCAACGTGTTTATTTTTTGTCAATAATGACACGTATTGGCAATTTCCATTCTAAATATCTTGAGAACGGTTGTTCGTAGCGATTTTTAACAAGATACATTTTTTACGTAAAAAGTCATGGAAATGTATATTTTTTCACTCAGTAGTTTTGTACAGGTACGGACGAAAAGTTATTACTCTTTAAAACAGTTAAAACACATGTAGGTGGCGCGCCCTACAAATAGGAGTCATATTGACATTAAAATCAAATTTCTCATGTCAAAAAACTCCCAGACACCAATTTTCATCTAAATATTGACGTTACTTCAGAAATTATTTGGAAAAAATCGAAATAAAATGAAACTTCTACACCCTGTATCTCCGAAACAAATCATTTTATGGCATATATTTATACGAACTTTTTTACCAACTTTTTTACTTATTTTTATCTTGCTGTCGAAGTTTCTGGAGTACAGTTCGAACCACCCTGTATGGCAGCTTAAACGGATAAATAACTCAGTATGTAAAAGATTAAAGTAAGGAGTTTGGACCAAAGAAAACAAAATAATAAATACAGGGCGAGTCTTAAATAAGTGCAAATATTTTCAGGGCTGGTAGATCTCGATAAAAGAAACATATTTTCTCTTTACCGTTTTTAAAATAAATTTGATATTTTACTATTAATAGTATAAAGTAATTATATATTATTACTAACAAAATAACCCAGATATTTTACTTTGAAAATTGAAAAAAAAATGATTTTTCGCTTAAATTTTGAGAACCACTGAATCTTTTTTGGGTTTCCTTTCTTGTAACTTTAATCTACTATCTACGTTGCCATATTATGAAGATATTCTGTTTTTGACTTAAACATTAAAAAAAATCAAAAAATTCCAAGTTTTCATTTTTTTTTAGCCAAAAACAACAATAATCGTGTTTCTGGGGTCGAAATATACTACCCCTAGAAATATTTGCATTTATTTATGACTCACCATGTATATCTAAGCTCCATCTACACAGAACGTTTTACCTGTCAGGCAAAACGGATTGAAAACTAACTGGAAGTTTTGTTTTACCTGCGGTTTTATCAATTTTTATTTTTTATCAATTAATATTGTGTTGAGTTAAGTAGAAACAAAAAACATGGGATTTTACTACAAAATTGTATTTATGGTTAAAATTTCATTCTAACTGTGAAAAACGTACTGTTAATATACAGGGTGGTCCGAACCGTATTCGGGAAACTTCGGCAGCATATTCTGCAGATAAAAATAAATAAAAAAGTTCGCGTAAATGTAGGTATGTCCTAAAATGCTTAGTTCCGGAGATACAGGGTGTAGAAGTTTCATTTTTATTTCGGTTTTTTCCCAAATAATTTTGAACTATAGTCGATATATGGATAAAAATACGTGTCTGGGTGTTTTTTAACATGAGAAATTTGATTTCATTGTCAATATGACTCCTACTTGTAGGGGGCGTCACCTACATGTCTTTTAACTGTTTTGAAGAGTAATAACTTTTCGTCCGTACCTGTATATAAAACTACTGAGTAAAAAATATACATTTCCTTCATTTTTTACGTAAAAATATGTATGTATCTTTGTAAAAATCGTTATAAGCAACCGTTCTCAAGATATTTAGAATAGAAATAAACAATACATGTCATTATTGACAAAAATAAGCATGTTAAGTAGATAGTTATTTGACTGATAAATTTGGGAACTTTTTATTTTATAAATTAATCATAATTTTTTCTCCGAAAAAAATATGATAAAATTATTTCTGTTGAACTTTTGGTATAAAAATATTTCAAATTTATTATTTCAGTCTAATAACTATTTAGTCAATATGTTTAATTTATGTCAATGATGACAGGTATTGATAATTTCGATTCCAAATATCTCGAGAACCATTATGCCGGGACCCCATTAGCCAACACGCCACGCCATGCCATGCCACCCCACGTCATGAAGATCTGTGCATATGTTTTTCCATTTAATTAAATGTATTGCGTACACACTAGGCAACACGGTACCCCACGCCATCCCACGCTATCACACGTGTGTCGTCTGTCCCAGATCTCTTGTGTACACTCTTTCTCGCGTCGCAACACGTGGGCCCACGTGGGATAGCGTAGCGTCACGTGACGTGTGGCCTAATGGGCTCCCGGCTTTACTCGTATCAATTTTTACCAGGAGACCTTTTTTATGTAAAAAACGTCGTAAACGTATATTTTTTTACTCGGTAGTTTTGTACAGGTACGGAAGAAAAGTTATTACTCTTCAAACCAGGTTAAAAATATGTAGGTGGCGCCCTCTACACGTGGGAGTCATATTGACATCTAAATCCTAAATTTCTAATGTCAAAAAACTCCCAGACGCCAATTTTCATCCGAATATTGACGTTAACACAGAAATGATTTGGAAAAAATCGAAATAAAAATGAAACTTTTACACCCTGTATCTCCGAAACGAAGCATTTTAGGATATACATTTATACAAACATTTTTACTCATTTTTATCTGCAGAATTTGCGGCCGAAGTTTCCCGATTACAATTCTGACCTCTCTGTATATTATAAACAGTTTTTTTTTTCGGTCGACAGTAGTAATATTGCATTAGCAACACTGTCCCACCTTTTTATTGAGTATCTGGCAACCCTGCCTGACTTGTGGGACTGAGTATAATTACATTTAATGTGTTGAAATCTCTATGGTTGAAATATATTTGATTATCTGTGATTTTTTTTAATGTGTGTGCTGTTATCGACCGTATATTTTATAAGAACAATGGGAGAAAAAATATCATATAGAAAACCTGACATGGAGCTTTTTCTAGCCATTCTAGGTACTAATTTAGAATACCTACTCTAAATACCAAAAAAATACTATAACTTACCAGTAGCTACTCCGCCTTCCCCAAATAAAGTAGCTTGAATATCAACTTCATCTTTCTTCTCCAATTTTTCACTGGCCGTGACTGATATCTGACCAGATTCCAACACATAATTTTCCGCATCTATAAATCTATCTTCGTTAGCATCATCATCATGAATAATTTTGGCACTATCAAAACTAATAACCAAGTCAGCTTCTTCTACACTGCCTTCCAATTTTTCTGTCAAATCATCAGTTGTGTGTTCTATCGGAAACTCATCTGGCTTCTCCAGAACCATGGAGTCCTGCTGTAAGATTAAGGTATTTGGTAACATATGAAATGTTTCTTGCAACTGTTGTTCCATCTTCACCGTAGATTCCGAAGTACTTTCAGTAGCTTCTATATTAGTTTCGGTAGAGCATTCCTCTGCATCTAAGGAATCTGTATATGTAGGTTTAGATTCCTCCATGCTTGATGATGCACTAGATTCTTGAGAGTTAGGATTATGTACTGTAGTTTCTGGTTCTTCAACAGGCAATATCTCTGTAATATCAGGAACTGATGTCATTGTTTCATCCTGATCTTGTGTTACCTCTGATTCCCTTTCTGATTTGACATCTGTATTACTGCTTGTTGCAGAAGTAGAGGATGATGTATCATCTACAGGATTCAGATCCTCTACATAATTCATACGCAATTGTAAAGAATCAACTGTTTCGATGGCTTCTGTACTAGACATTTCATCTAGATTATGTACAGTAACGCTACAAGAACTACTGCTAGTTTCATCAATCATTCTATCTTTTTCGTAAATATCTTCAAGATGTTCGGCACTTTCTGAAGTGTGTTCACTGATCTTATCGTCATCACTTGCTACTTCGGATGTAATATCAAGAGGATCCCTAAGTTCTGACGCATCTAAAGTATCCATAGGTTCAGGGGATAAAGCTAGTGGACTCATGGACTTACTTCTTTTTGTAGAACTTTCATCCCTATCTGAACTCGGAGATCTTTGACGCTTTTCTGAATCATTAACAATGTCATCTCTACATAATATGATTGTCTCTTCATTAGTTTCTAAAATAGTATCACTTATGTTAACTATACAATTGTCATGTATGTCTACATTATGAGCATCATTAATAAAAGATTCTTTTGTTTCATCGGCATCGTCTTTCGATATTTCCGGAATATACACTTCCTCAGCCTTATGGTGAACTTCCTCCGTTTGTACTTTGTTTTTTATTTGTTTTATTGGGAGTAAATCGGGAATTGATGTTTTAGTCTCGCAGGGTTTAAATTTTTCTTCCTCTTTTAAAATCGTACATGACCTAGTCATAGCACCGACAGTTCTAATTCTTTTAACAGGGGGAGGAGGGGAACTCTTACTTTTGCTAGTTGCTGAAGTCGTAGAAGGCCTAAGTTTTATTGTGGTTTTAATAGGAGGTCTAGAATTTAAACATAAATTGCTTGTACTAGTTGTGGCAACGTTATTGGCAGCATCTGCTGCCGTTCTGTCACCCCATATTGGTTCGAAATGTTTCAATTTCCAAGGATCTAGTTTACTTCTTTCTTTGTCAGCGTCCAGTTTCAGTTTTTGCTGATTTTCGGGTGTAAATTCTCCTTCTGCCAATCGATCCTGCCACTCTAAACATGCTCGAGCAAAAAATTCATTATTTAACCCTGAACTAATTTCTATACAATTTGGATCTGAGGAATTAGTAATTAACTGTCTATCCACTAAGGGTAATAACTGAACTAGTTTATTCTGATATAAAAGTGGCAAGGAAGCAAACGTACCTTTGTTTAAAAGCAGCCTTAAATTAGTGTTAACTAATATTGAGTCAGGTGTTTCTAAATCTATACAACCTTCCTTTGTTTGTTCCAACTGGGCTGCTGTAGACAACTTTTTATTTGTTCGTTTTCGAGGCTTTATGTTAAAACCTGGAATGGATGCTAAGACTTCCTTCATAGTAGGTGTTTTATTGGATACTGGAGGCACTATGGTAGTTTCTTCAGTCCCTTCTGGAGGCAAAGGTTTTACTATTATTCGTGGGACTGTATTTGACAAAATACCTGAAGTTAAGGTTGTACTTTTTTTTCTACGTCTAGCTTGTTGTCGTAATGCATGCTTTACTATTTTCTTATTGCTTATGTTAGAAATTAGATCTTTGTTACCTACAGGACATATATTGTTCACATTTGATGTGTGATTTACAAGTCCAGCAGAATGGTTTTGATACTTTTCTTCCTCAACTTGACATAATAGAGTAGAAGTATTCTCTAAATTATCATCAGGAGTAACGTCTATTTCCATCACGTAACGGTTCGAGGTACATTAATCCCTCTCTACAGTTTCCACCAAAATGTTTTGTACAACTTTATTACACAAAGATTTTAGATAGGTATATAAATACATTCACCCCATTTTTGTTGTTTTAATATCCGTGGAAAACGTAAGAATTATCCATTGTCTTTAAAAACTTCGATGCATCGGATACTTTATCAATAATTCTCAGCACTATTCACAATATTTTTTTTCACTAGTTTTATTAACAATAATACGCCATCCGCCATTTCATAACCGAGCCTGATATAAACAGGAAATATTTTGTAGATTCTCAATGTGTAGATTGAATAGCACTCCTGTCAAGGATATATTTAATTTTTAACATTGGTACCATTGACTCTTTTACAGAGTTTTAAATCAAATATATATTTTTTTTGTTTAATATTCAGCAAATTCGTAATAAAGTTTGATTATAATTTAAATAAATTTACAATATAACACTACTTTTACTCTGCCTTTTCTTTCATTTATTAATTTATTGTTTCTATTTTCTAGCTTTTTCAGTGCCGCCAATAGTTGACGGCCCGTTGACGGTTTCGTAAAAAACCCCAATACAATTTGACAGTTGTCATATTTGACAATCACAAATTAATTTGACAGTTGACAGTTTGATACTTTTGTCATGGGTCGGTGTTAAAAAGTTGTTATTTTTTGCATTAAAATATAGAAATTAGTACATTTCAGATCTAAAATCTGAGTAGAAAGAAATATATGAAAAGATACTTCAATTTATGATGGAAACATATACCAATTCATGGTATTTACATGCTCAAATTAAATCAAAATATAAGTGGGTGTGCGGTGTTTTCTCGTTTAATCTTTAATATCTTTTTTATTGTGAAGGAACATGAGATAAGATAATGATATTTTTACCCATATAATCTTTTATGGCCTAATATTGGATTAATTTCTACTGCAATATAAAAATGCGTAAAAAATCAACTACTTTCTTTAATTACAAATTCAGGATCTGGATCTGTTGAAGTTACTTACTAAGTTCAAATAGCACAATGGGTAATAAAACTAGCTGTTGCTCATATTCAAGCCCACAAAGTAACCGTAGAGTGATCATTCCTATCGAAGAAACTTTACACGAAGGTGAGGTTAGTGCTTCAAACTTGCAACATATTAGTGAAAGGGGAGGAGATGATGGAGAAGCTGATCCATCTCAGGACCCTATGACAAAAACTATATTTATTGAAAAATCAAAAACAGCCATTGAAAATGGTATGATAAGGAGGAGAAGTCAACATCAAATTGCAGATCTGAGACCTCTTAAAAAAAGTAGTTCCTGTTCTACAATATATTTAGATGATAGTACTGTTTCTCAACCAAATTTAAAAAACACAGTTAAATGTGTTGCATTAGCTATATATTACCATATAAAAAATCGTGATTCTCAGAGAGAAATAGATATTTTTGATGAAAAATTACATCCACTTACAAGAGATGGTGTAAGTGATGATTACGATAAGTATAATCCGGAGCATAGGCAAATTTATAAGTTTGTAAGAACTTTATTCAATGCAGCCCAGTTGACTGCAGAATGTGCCATTATAACTTTAGTGTATCTAGAAAGACTTTTAACATATGCAGAACTAGATATCCAGCCTTCAAATTGGAAAAGGATAGTTTTAGGTTTGTATTAAGTCTTTATCTAAATTCATTGTTTATAATTTCTATTAAATCTTATAATTCTTCATTCATTTAATTTAATTTCTTTTTATTTATTATTTACTGAATTACTTTTATTCATATTAAAATAAAATGTTCCCGTGTATTGACATTGCTTCCAATTTATGGTGATGTAGGATAATTTTTTCTTATTTAATAATGAATAAATATTTAATACTTTCAAATTTCGGAAATGAGTCATTATATAATATAAGTCTTTAAATGAGGGTATAAGCAAAGAGTATTATAATTGTTTCATGTAAGAATTAATAGATAACAGCATATTACACTTACAAATTTGTATTTTTATAGTTTTTTATCAGCATTAAATTGACAAAGACATGTTTGGGTCAAAAGTTTAAATTATATTTTTTTAAATATTGTAGGTATATCATAACTTTTTATAGCAATTTTAGTTATATTCTATAGACAGTTTTCCAAGATTCTGAGAAATAATCTTCAAAATGGCATTATCTTTGAAATATGTTATTAGTGTTAACGAATATCCATCACACACAATAGACAAGTACATTAAAAATATTTTTTTTTACTGAGCACTTGCGTTATCTTAAATCTTACAGATTAAGTTGATGTTTTTTTTGTACAAATTCTTTTTTTCCGAATGTATTTGTAGATTTTTTCTAACTGTCAAAATAAACTCATAAAAAAATAAAAACAAAAAACGGAAATTTCAGTTTTTCCGTCATATTTCCGGATGTAACAAAGATTCAAGTCCAATTACTAATCGAATTATTTGGCTACTTTAACCCAATTTAAGTCACCCTGTATCTCTTACCGTTTCCGAGGTTCCTACAGTGATAGAATTTGAAACACCCTATATATCACATCATAATATCTCATTCAAAACTGTATTAACTCAAAATAGGAAACCTTGTCAAGAGAAGCAAAGTTAAGATGCCTTTTTGGATATGAATGGCCAAATAATACAATATGATCGAAAAAAAACAGCGTCAGCGATAGCTATGAAATGAAGATCGTTGTCATTTTACTTTTTACATTATGTAAAATTATATGGGGAATGTCATCGATCGTCACTTCCAAGCCAATTGGACGCCGTTTTTTTTTCGATCATACGGTATTATAGTGGAGTTTTTATAATTTTTTTTTTACTTTACTGCCATTCTTCTGGGGCATAAATCAGATTAAAAGGGTTTTTTTTTTTGTAATAATTGTTTGTTTTGTAATAATAAACATTTTTTGAAGATAATATAATTTGGAATATGTAGAATTTGAAATAGAATGGATAATATAATTTCTAGGAAAACTTGAAGAGATACGTAAAAAGTGGTTTAATACAATTTGATAGACAATTAAATTGTGCATCTGATTCTCATAAAATATACAGGGTGTTCCATTTAAATTAAACAAGTTATTGCCGTTTAAAACTAGTAATTATTTAAAATTATTTTTTAGACACTGTATAAGGTAGTATAATTTTTACTATTGCAACACTTCAGTACAATATTTGGTTTTAAAAACTTAAATACTACTAGAGAAATGAAGCATTAAAATTATTACTGTATTTTGACAAAAACCTAAATATTTCAAAAACGGTAAGATTAAAATCCGGTAAACCTTAATCAAATTTACCTTTATTTTAATCGTAAAAACTAAAAATGTAATAATATACAGGGTGTTCCATTTAAAAAAATACTTTGATATTTTTTATTTATTTAGGACACTCTGTATCGTGTCAAAATATTTTTAAATTGTAGCTTTAATAGTCCGTCAACGATCCCAAAACTTACAATTTGTAAAAATCTAATCGTTTAGCTGCGATAATCCGTGTCGTATGTGGTGAACAACCCTGTATAGGCGAGCCACTTTTGAGACGCACCCAGTATATTCACGGAATATTGGGACACCCCGTATATATTTTAATCCGGTTTCTTTTTTCAGGTGCAATCCTTTTAGCTTCGAAGGTGTGGGACGACCAAGCCGTGTGGAACGTCGACTATTGCCAGATCCTAAAAGACATCTCCGTCGAGGACATGAACGAACTGGAACGACAGTTCCTCGAGCTGCTCCAGTTCAACATCAACGTTCCTTCCAGCGTCTACGCCAAGTACTACTTCGACCTGCGCACGCTGGCCGAGGCCAACGATCTGACATTCCCCAGCGAGCCGCTGAGCAAGGACAGGGCCGAGAAACTGGAGGCCATGTCCCGCGTGATGGAGGACAAGTACACGGCGGAGGCGATCAAAAACGGCTTAAAAAAGTGGTCTAGTTTGGACAATATAACGAATGGCGGCATCGCGTCCCGTAGGAGCGTAGCGATCTTGTCTTAAACCTAGAATTTAGACTAACTAGACGCACAAAGAATACAAGTCTTCAGTTCTTTACTCTCACACTTAATATTCCTAATTTAATGCCCTGGAGAGTTTATACATTTTGTAGGGTGCAGTTAGACAGTAAGTTATAATATTGTAAAACCCGAAAATTAAGAAATTGGCGCTTATCATGTTTTTCCCTGGACCCTTCATATACAGGGTGAGTCAACGATAGAGTAAAGTCCATTATCTCATTTGTTTCGAGGTTTAAAAAAAATGTTAATTATAAAAGTTATAAGGAAGGTTAAGATACACATTTTAAAATTATTATAGAGTGTACGAGGTGCTTCAAAAAAGTGTGGCGGATATAAAATATGTTTTTTTAAATGCAACACCCTATTTTTTATTTTATTTTTAGATTCTGCTTAAAATATAATAACTTTTTATGTATAATGTTATATACCTAAAATTAATAGTTTTTGTAGTATTTAAATTTGTTTAAACAAATGTTAAATTGCAGTGTGGTGAAAAATTGTCAGTGGTACCATTGTTTCTGAACTTGGAATAACAAAATTTGGTATGAGAGTTTTATAGAGATGAAAAAAAAAGATATATCTAAAGATATTTTAGTTAAATGCTACAGGGTGTTCAAAATATATTTATGAATTCCAACTACTTAAAATTAATAAATCTCAAATTTTTTAATGGTAGACCCTATATATTTTCATTTTTTCTGCTAGATTTTGCAAAGCTCTTCAACTTTTATTAAGTATGTCATATACCTATTTTTAATAGTATGCGATTTATTCCAATTTTTTCAATTTTTACACTAATTTTTAATACAATTACGCTATAACATCTTAGGTGCCATGCCAAAACAAACATATTTTTTACTTACCTTTAACAAATAGTTTAATAATTAGTTACACAATTGATATTATTAGTTAACATTAATTAACTTTACTCAAATAAACTAAAATCGTGGTGGTGAATTTCTTGGTGTATTTCTATATTATGAAAGATAACAATTGTAGATTTTCCGTCGAGGCGAATAGCCACAGATTAGGATAATATTAACTAGATTACCTAATTGTTGACGACTATTGATATAGTTTTTCAATATACACAATATTACTACTGCCGCGAAACCGTCCCATTACACACTGAAAATAATATAATATGACAATGTTTTCTAGATAATCTACATCTATTTTTATAGTACTTAGCAAAGAACTATATAATATATAGTACTAAACCAAAAAATATGTCTATGTTGGCTTGTTCGTGTATATCAGTCAAATTGGCTAATTAATTTTCAGAAAAATCTATAATTATTATCTCTACCATTTATACTACTTATTACAACAAATTAAACTAAAATTCACGTTTTGTTCTTCACTTGCTTAACAGACATATGAAATTTTGATAATTATTATTTTTTGTCATGGCAACTATGATGTTATAGCGTAATTGTATTAAATATATGGGTAAAAATAGAAATAATTGGAATAAATCGCAAACTATTAAAAATAGGTATATGACATACTTAATAAAAGTTGAAGAGCTTTGCAAAATCTATCAGAAAAAATGAAAATATATAGGGTGTAACATTTGAAAAATTTGAGATTTTTTAATATTAAGTAGTTGAAATTCATAAATATATTTTGAACACTCTGTAGCATTTAACTAAAATATCTTTACATATATCTTTTTTTTTTTCATCTCTATAAAACTCTCATACCAAATTTTGGTGTTCCAACTTCAGAAACAATGGTACCACTGACAATTCTTTAACACACTGCAATTTAACATTTGTTTAAACAAATTTAAATATTACAAAAACTATTAATTTTAGGTATATAATATTATATGTAAAAAAAATATGGAATTTTACGCAGAATCTAAAAATAACTTAAAAAATAGAGTGTTGCATTTAAAAAAAAACATATGTTATATCCGCCACATTTTTTTGAAGTACCCTGTATACTCTATAATAATTTTAAAATGTGTATCTTAACCTTTTCTATAATTTTTATATTTAACATTTTTCTGTAAACCTCGAAACAAATGAGATAATGGACTTTACTCTATCGTTGACTCACCCTGAATTTCAGATTTTTTTCCGACATTTAAATCGATTTTCTAAATAGATAACTGCTTTTTTAAAACATCTTCATTCTTGCGATCAGAGTGCGGGTCTAGGTAGTACTAAAAGTCTATGGTTTTAAAACAAAAGACTTTGACTATGTAGGATTTACCAAAGTAATTTTTCTAATTTTATTAAAATTTATTTTTAAATCTCATTCTATATATTATATATTTAATGTATATAAAACATTTACACTGCTTTAGTTGATTAAGGAGAATGTTTTACACTAGCTTTATACTACTTTTTTGTAAGTCATGTTGATAAAAACGATGTCGATGACAAAAAAATGTATTGATTAGTATTAGTACGCTAAAGTGACTTCCGAAATGAGCCAATTTTCTTATTGTGGTAACTAACATTTTTTTTTCTCGTTTTATATATCCCTATAAACATTATAGCATGAGGGTAGATTTTCAGAATATTTTATTTTTGTATTATTTAAAATTGTTAAACTGATCAATTGAATACAGACTTTGTGGAATCACAAAATATAGAAATAAATAAGCTTTGAAAATTTCAGATTTAATGTGATTTATTCAACCTTTTTTATTTAATTCACTTTGAGAGTTGGAGAAAAACTAAATACAAAAGTTTCATATTTCAAAATATGTACAGAGATTTGGTATGTTAATATATGACATAAATTTGGATTGATTGACGTATTTAATTGTTTTCGGTCACTTCCTGCTTCACCGGAAATGACTACAACTTTTGATTTTTAAATGGCACCCTCGGTATTTTTTTTGCTTTATTCTTTGAATAAGAAGACTAAGGAAGGAGCATAATGTTATCCAAGTATTCATGCATGGTGGGCGGAAAAAGGACTCTAGGGTGGGGATCCTTGACAGTTCTGTTTGACGATTCATTTGACACATTTGAATTTGATTTGAAATTTTGTGGATTTGTCAGTCTTTACGGAGCTTATTTTATGTTATTTATTATTTATTCTACTACTGATAGTTGTGTAAAGGTAGTAAATCTAGATGGAAATTGTGGCAGAACTTAAATTAACAGTGACACTATTGCGATTTACCGAAAAAGGCTGTAAAATAGTGGGTTGTGTAGCGTGCGGTAGATCTCGGTGAAAATCGAGTGAAATAATGGAACAACTTTTCGCTAGTAAGTGACTATATAGTATACATACGTGTAGTAAACCGATCATTTATGAAATTCACTTAAATTAACTAAATTATATATTTTTCTTACATTTTAGCTTTTATTTACTACACAAATTTACTACTTGTCAAAGATCAGATGTCATTCATACCTGATTTTTTATTGTGATGATCACCCACCTATAATTATTACGTTAATTTGACTTACCTGCTTCAGTAGCGAATCGGATGTTTGTGTTAATAAATACTTATTATAACTTATCTATTTTTATTAGAATTATATATTTTTATAACAATTTTAATAACTACCAACATTTATTCACAACGTAAAATAAAACAACAAATTATTGAGTCTACCCCACGTCTACCCTACATCATAGTTTTACATTTTTTAAATAAAATTAGAACGGCACTGATAAACCGGAATTTAAGTCGGCCATATTTGAGGCCCATCGTGGTGGACCTAAGATTTTTGATATGCTCCTTCCTTAGTCTTCTTATTCAAAGGCTTTATTCGATAGAAAATGACATTTTGAATAGAATGACACATCATATGTCAACTTTTGACATTCTCGTTTAATAAAAAATCGTATTTTAAATTTCAATCTAGAGTACCGTGGCTATGTTAAAAACATAATCCATAATCAAAGAGCCTTGGAAAAATAGATTTGATCATCTAATGCTTTTAATGTCTTGTCCTGGCCAGGTAGAAAATGCTCAAATCGTATTTTTAATCATATCTCATTTTTTCAAATGCAACGAGGGTGGCTCACTAGCATATTTGGAAAAAGCATTTTTTTACGAATAATTTGATACCACACTCTTGATATTTTGAGTCAAATTTTCTTAACGAACCGCAAGTTATAATTTCAAATAAACCATATGCGTAAATGTCATAAGTTGGCATATGATATATGTCAATGTATTCAGAGTGTTATTTTCTATCGAATAAAGGAAAAAAATACGAGGGTGCCATTTATAAATCAAAAGTTGTAGTCATTTCCGGCGAAACAGGAAGTGACCGAAAACAATTGAATACGTCAATCAATCTTAATTTATGTCATATAATAACATACCAAATCTCGTTTTTTTAACTAAAAAAATAAAAAAGTTATAGGGGTGAGCTATTTTTGAGACGCACCCGGTAGGGGTGAGCCACTTTTCAGACGCACCTGGTTTAGGATGTTTCAAAAAAGTGCGCGTTATATTTGGGTATAGGTATAAGGCACACAACATAAATAATTTTAGTGATAACAACATATAAAAATTCTATATGAAAACACCCCCCTTTATTTCTTAACAAGCATTCGCCTCATGTATTTTTTAGCTCTTATTCATTTACACTGTGTATAAAGTAATTTGTGTTGTTAGATATTACAGGGCGTTCAACACAGTACAAACTTATGAATTTTCACTGTTACAAATAAAATTATTTTTATAAATCTAAATTATCTCTGTAGATACGGTAGATACGACTCTATTATTGCCTAACAGATTTTTCTTCCAAACTTAATTTTGACCAATAATTTATTCCGCATTTATTTTCTTAGTAAGAAATTACCAATGTAAAAAATATCAATTTCAAAGTTCAATTCAGAATTGAGTCCTTTGTGTTTGATATAAAGGCGTTCTTTTTTCTTTAGTAGGGCGTTCTACGTTGTCTACGTATTAAATAAGACTATGTAATAAGATATGTGTTTTGTGGTAATAAGTGTGTAAAATATTATTTGTGAAAAATTAAAATTGAGATAATAAAAAACTACTTACAAAAAGATTTGTGCGCTGTGCGCAAATCTAGAATTTCAATTGTTTGAAATTCAAATTTATGGGGACAATTATTTTTTGCTGGTGGTGACACTGATAATACCTAGAAAATCTAGTAACTTCCCTAGATAATCATTGTCAATTTATGACAAATTATCGGCTGTATTTTGACATTTTGACGTTCCTGTTTGTGATTTTTTATTGTGATGATCACCCACCTATAATTATTGGTTTAAAAATTAAGAAAACGGAAAAACTCCTTAATTAATGAAATTTTCGAGGATCTAACAAGTTATTATTAAAACACGTAAGTCGTATCAATGCAGAATATCAGTCAATGTGTGTTGTGGATCTGAATGTGTCACTACCTTGATTTGTTTGCTTCAGTAATCAAAAACGAAATCATATTCTTGTTTTGCGTTTCAGAAATATGTCTACGGGACCCTACAATTACTCTTACATCTTTAAATATATCATTATCGGTGATATGGGAGTGGGCAAATCCTGCTTACTTCATCAATTTACTGAGAAAAAGTGTAAGTTATGCATATGCAACCAAAATACCACATTATTTAAATAATACCATTGTTTATACTTTATTGTAGTTATGGCAGATTGTCCACACACTATCGGTGTAGAGTTTGGTACAAGAATTATCGAAGTTTCAGGACAAAAAATCAAATTACAGATCTGGGATACTGCCGGTCAGGAACGGTTTAGAGCGGTAACTAGATCGTATTATAGAGGCGCCGCTGGGGCTCTTATGGTTTATGATATAACCAGAAGATCCACCTATAATCATCTGAGTAGTTGGCTGACTGACACCAGAAACTTAACCAATCCTAGCACAGTAATTTTTCTTATTGGAAACAAATGTGACCTTGAAGGTCAGCGAGACGTTACCTATGAGGAAGCTAGCAAATTTGCAGAAGAGAATGGTTTATTGTTTGTTGAGGCTAGTGCAAAAACGTAAACTTTTATTTTTTTGTATTTATAACCATTTTAATAAACTTTTTTTAAATAATTTCAGTGGTGATAATGTCGAAGAAGCCTTTTTAGAAACAGCAAAGAAAATTTACCAGAGTATTCAAGATGGACGATTAGATTTGAATGCAGCTGAATCAGGAGTACAACACAAACCATCTCAACCAGGTCGTAATAATTTGTCCAACGACCAGCAAGCCAACAAAGATAACTGCGCTTGCTAGTTATTTAGAACAGTTTGCAAACAAATTCTGTTCTTTAAGCTAACTTTTTTATTTACAAAAATAAATGAACTCATATTTATTGATTCCTTTCAGTTGATATATACATTAAATGTTGAAAATAGAGATTATATTTGTAAAATTGTGTACATCTCTTTTAAAGTTATTAAATTTGTTCAATTACTAATCAGAGAAGTACATTTAACATGAGAATTTTTATCAAGAAGTTTCTTTTTGGAAATATTGATATACACAATTTTATCTGTTTATGTAAAGAGTTAATGTATTAAAATATTCTCATTATGGATTAACTATAATGTATTGGAATCAAGGAACAATATTGTAGGAATATATATACATATACTATTTTTTAAGGAAATACATAAATATTTTTTTTATTTTAATTATATGCACTTACCTTTATTATTTATCTTTATCGTTTAAAGCCCTGTCTACACATGACGTTTTACCTGTCAGTTAAAACGGAAAACCGATTAGAGAACTGTCAGCAGTTCTTTAGGCGGTCTTCTGTCTTAGCCCCTTCTAGGTAAGACGGATTAAAGACTAGCATATACACTGAAAGTTTTGCTGCGGTTTTTATCAATTATATTATCATTGTTTTTAGTGAAATTGAACAAAAAACATGGAATTTTAATACAAAAAGTGTATGGTTTAAATTTCATTTGTAAACATGCAAAGCTAATTGTGAAAATAATAATAATAAAAGGCTTTTATTTTTAGCTCGGGGAAGGCCTTTTATTATTTATTATTTTCACAATTTAGCTTTGCACAGTGGCGGATACCATGGGACCAAACCCCCCCCCCTAAAATCTATAAATTGGGTTAAAACCAAACCTTAAAATAAATTCCTGTATCCGCCCCTGACTTTGCAGTTTTACAAATGAAATTTAAACTGTACTACACCTTTACAGCGCTTTCAGATGGATCGGAGCGTCCGCGCGGACCGTCCGCGAGTTTCATGAGTTTAAATGTACAATTTCACATGGGTCGCGTATGCTCCGTCCAGATGATTTCGTCTGACAGCTATCTGAAAAAACAAGCAGCACAAAAACAGCGCGGACGCTCCGCTCCATCCGAAAGCGCTGTTTTAGTAAAATTCCATGTTTTTTGTTCAACTGCACTAAATGTCTGATTATAGTCATTAAATATCTCTTCAACATTATTGTACAATTACATTATTTTGCGAAACTATGCGAAAATGTTGAAACTTTAAAAGTTTGTTTATTAAAGATGCAGTAGTATATCCATATAATTTTTTGTAAATTTACTTATATTTCTTTCAGTATAAATAGGGTTGCCAGATCCAACGGTTTATAATATACAAGGTGGTCCGAGTTGTATTCGGGAAACTGTGGTAGCATATTCTGCAGATAAAAATAAGTAAAAAAGTTTGTATAAATGTATGTCCTAAAATGCTTAGTTTTGGAGATACAGGGTATAGACATTTTTATTTCGATTTTTTCTAAATAATTTATGAACTAACGCCGATATTTGGATCAAAATTGGTGTCTGAAAGAGTTTTTTGACATGAGAAATTTGATTTTGATATCAATATGACCCCTACTTGTAGAGGGCGCCACCTACATATTTTTAACTGTAAAGTATATCTAATAACTTTTTGTCCGTACCTGGTATAAAAATACTTTTTAAAAAATATACATTTACGACGTTTTTTACGTAAAAAAATCTCTTCGTAAAAATGTTATGGAGTTATGAGTTGCACAAAAGTTTTTTGGAATCTAAATTATCAATACCTGTCATCGACATAAATTAAACATGATGTTATTAGACAGATATAATTTGAAATATTTTTGTGCTAAAAGTTCAACAGAAACTGTTTTAGCATTTTTTTTTGAAGAAAAATTTATCGTTAATTTAAAAAAAATAAAAAGTTATTATTCCCAAATTTATCATTTCAGTCAAATAACTATCTACTCAACATGTTTATTTTTTGTCAATAATGATATGTATTGACTATTTTCATTCTAAATATCTCGAGAACGTTTGCTCGTAGCGATTTTTACTAAGAGACATTTTTTACGTAAAAATTGTTGTAAATGTATATTTGTTTACTCAGTAGTTTTATACAGATACGGATGAAAGTTTATTACTCTTCAAAACAGTTAAAAAACATGTACAGTGCCGGCCAAAAGTGGAGAAACTTTTATGATTTCTTTCTTACTTGCGATTGTGTATAATAATCCTTCATTAGATTTTTTATTGGCATGCTTGCTAATAGTTACATTAAATAATGCACACAAAAAACTTAAATAATTGTTTTTATTGTATAAAATAAATAATATTTACTTTCCTAGAGGACATAAGTGGAGAAACTTTGTTACTGACAATTAACAAAAACTATTTTTTTAATATTTAGTTGAAAATCCTTTGTTCTCTATCACCTCTACACATCTTCGGGGCATCGATTCCATCAAAGACCTAATTTTATTTTCTGAAATCTCAGACCAAGCTTGTGACAGAGCAGCAAATAATTGATCTTTATTTGTAAATTTTTCCGGTTGTTTCTGCCTGACTTCGCGTTCTAGTTGCTCCCACATATTTTCTATGGGGTTCAAATCCGGGCTCTGAGCTGGCCATTTTATAACAGACAATGTTCTGCTTCAACAAATTCTTTAATGATTTTTGTAGTATGCTTTGGATCGTTATCATGCTGAAACTTCCAAACAAGAGCTAAAGATTCCTCAGCAAATGACAACATTGTATTTCTTAAAATGTCCAGATACTGATACCGATCCATAATACCTTCTATTCTTCTTAGTGGTCCCATCCCATGGCCAGAGAAGCACCCCCACACAAGCACGTTGCCACCCCCATGTTTGATAGTTGGCGTAGTATATTTAGGATTGTATCTTTTATTATTAGGACGCCTTACCCACTTCATACCATCGGAGCCGAACATGTTAAATTTGCTTTCATCCGACCATAGCACTTGTTTCCATTGGTCGTAAGTCCAATTTAAATGTTCTGTGGCAAAATCCAAACGAGACCGTCGATTTTTTTTAAATAAAAGGCTTTTTGGCAGGGCGTCTGGCGTGTAGCTTCTCTTCACTTCTAATAGTCCTCACAGAAATTGAAACATGTGGATTTTCTTTTTTTATATCGACCGCAGTAAAAAATGGATTTTTCAAAGAACACCTTCTTATTAATTTATCAGTGGCAGCTCCACTTTTTCAGGGCCGTCCTGGTTTAGGTTTACTTTCAATGATCCTCTTAAGCCGCGTACACACTTAGCGAACGCATACGGCCGCATGGCTTAGAACGAACGAATTCGGGAAATGTGTACGTATCAACGAACGCATACATTCGCGTGCGGTTGCGTTCGCTGACTTAGCGGTACTTCAAAGGGAATACTACCGCACGCAAACAGATGTATGATGCGTTCACTAGGTGTGTACGTAACAGCGAACAGCGAAAAAGTACTTTTAACAAAATCACCGCATGTGTGCGGATTTGGTCGAACGCATGCGTTCGCTAGGTGTGTACGCGGCTTTACTTGGTACAGTTTTATTTGTTTGCAAACAACACTTTTGCTAAAAAGTTTCTTCATTTATGTCCCCATAAAAATAAACAATTTTACTTATCAGCAAATTCTTTCTAAACATATTTAGTGTTTTTCTTTTTTATTAAGTATTATCAAGATCTATAAACATTCGTATACTTGGCAAATGTAGTAGTGGAATGCATTGTAAAATTTAAAAGTTTCTCCACTTTTGGTAAATAAAAACTGCCCTTAGAAAGAAAGCGTTACAAGTCCGCCGACTTTATCCTTCGTATTTTTAGACCAATCTAATCTGACAGATCGTTTGGCCTGTGGCAGGCTTGGTCCGCCAAAGGTTTAGTCTGTCACAGACTTGGTCCGCCCCACAAAAGTTTTTATCCGCAGGCCAAAACTTTGGTATATGGATTGAGGCCAATGATCCCGTCAGTCTCTTAATTCGGTTCAAGTTAAACGGTTTGTTTTTTCGTGTACTCTCAATGGTTTACTTGATCCGTTTTGACTGAACAAGTAAGTCTGGCTAAAGACTGAACAAGGTAAAACGTAATGTGTAGACGGCGTGGCGCTTAAAATAATAGAAGGTTATTGATATAAACAGTTTATGTAACATATGAGCAGCAATAATGATTTGCAACGTATTACCACTTTTGTGTGCCCATAAAAGAAAAGGAAAAAATGGCTATAAATACCTACAGGACATTTATGTAGTAATAAAATGAGATACAAAATCAGCTTTTCTTGCATTCTAATCAAAAGGTTAATTGATTATTATCAGCCAGTAGTAGAATTTTGAGAAGAGTGACATACAAATATTTGTGAATAGGTTTTATACAGGGGTGGTCCGAACTGTATTCCGGAAACTTTGGTAGCATATTCTACAGATAAAAATAAGTAAAAAAGTTCGTATAAATGTATGTCCGAAAATGCTTAGTTTCGGAGATACAGTGTGTAGAAGTTTCATTTTTATTTCGATTTTTTTCAAATAATTTCTGAAGTAACTTCAATATTTGGATGAAAATTGGTATCCGGGAGTTTTTTTGCATGAGAAATTTGATTTTGATGTCAATATGACTCCTATTTGTAGGGGGCGCCACCTACATGCGTTTTAACTGTTTTGATAAGTAATAACTTTTCTCTCGTCCGTACCTGTATAAAACTACTGAGTGAAAAAATATACATTTCCGCGATTTTGTACTTAAAAATGTCTCTTGGTAAAAATTGCTACGAGCAACAGTTCTCAAGATATTTAGAATGGAAATTGCCAATACGTGTCATTATTGACAAAAAATAAACACGTTGGGTAGAGATCTTAGACAAGGAAAGAGAGGGGACAGCTAACACGCATATTCTACTACTTACAAAAAATAAACATGTTGAGTAGATAGTTATTTGACTAAAATGATAAATTTGTGAATTTTTAATTTTTTTAAATTAATCATAAAGTTTTCTTCAAAAAAATGATGAGAAAACAGTTTCTATTGAACTTTTGGCACAAAAACATTTCAAATTTATGATTTCAGTATAACTATTTAGTCAAGATGTTTAATTTGTGTCAATGATGACAGGTATTGATAATTTCGATTCCAAATATCTCGAGAACCATTACTCGTAGCGATTTTTACCAAGACACTTTTTTACGTAAAAAACGTAGTAAATATATAATTTTTTACTCAGTAGTTTTATACAGGTACGTACGAAAAGTTATTACTCTTCAAACCAGTTAAAAAATATGTAGGTGGCGCCCTCTACAAGTAGGAGTCATATTGACATCAAAATCAAAATTTTCATGTCAAAAAACTTCCAGACACTAATGTTCATTCGAATATTGACGTTACTTCAGATTTTTTTTGCAAAAAATCCAAATAAAAATGAAACTTCTACACCCTGTATCTCTGAAACTAAGCATTTTAGGACAGACATTTATATGAACTTTTTTACTTATTTTTATCTACAGAATATGCTGCCATAGTTTCCGGAATACAGTTCGGACTACCCTGTATACCTACTATTACCTTGTTCTAGAAATTTTAGTCTAAAGTTCAGCTCACTTGCATGGTTCTGCTACTGGTAGTAGCATTTATGGCACTAAATAGTACCTATGTCTCGTGTAAAAACAGGTTCCGTGACTCCAAATAGTGTCAAACCAATATATTTTAACTGTTCCGGGTTTAGTATATTTTTTTTTCACTTACAATGTTGCTATATATTAGAAAATCAGAATTAATTTTGAAGAAATTATTCAGATGTTAAGTGTTTTATAAAATTATGTGTAGAATTAGAAAAATCTCTTATCACCGCTTCATATCTCTCTATACTAATATTTAGAATATGTTAATAGTCCAATCATATCATTTTTAGGGGAAAACATGATAATGTTGAGCCTATAATAAAATTCGTTATTTTAAGTTTAAATTACTTTATTTTTAATAATTTCTAATAAGTAATAAATTGTTTATAAAAACTTAATATTCATTTTTCTTGGTAGGCATTAGCTTTCATTAAACTTGTT